GTTCCACACTGATTTCCAGACTTTGGGACACATTTACTTCAAAACAATGGGATCTAACTGCTCACCATGTGGCCATGAGGGACAGGGATGCAGCCTCACTTCCTGCTCTAAAATGCAGGGGTGTGGCTAAAATAAGGCTCCGCCCACAGACGTAAACTCTGTGTTTTGGTAGTGACATGAAAACGTGAGACAACATTTAAAGTTTTTTATGTAAAAATGAAACTCATTATAAAACTCTCTTATAAATGTAAAACTTCACTTTAAAAGAAATCAAAAAGATATTTAAAAATACAATAAATAAAAAAATAAAATAAAAATGAAGTATTATATGGATTATATGGATAAGTCGAAATTTAAGTTGAAATTTCGTATATATGTAGCTTATGGTGCCTTCAAGTCCTGTTGGAAACATCGGATTTACGAGACGAACACAAATGAACGCCACCACGATGTCGTATTTTTCAGTAAGCGCCGAGTTTCTGAGTTGGGGGGCGTGTCAACAAAAACCGCTGATAAACTGGCTGTATTTTAGTTATTCATCAGCCACAACCTTAACACTGCAGGCTGAAACCATCCACACATGGAAATACAGGTATAAGAACATGTTATGTGGCACATCTAACTGCATAAAGACATTATTTTACTCATAAGCATCTTCTGCTCTTCACTTTGTTGCAATAATGCAAAATACACAGATTTGTTTAATGAGAGAAAAAAAAAAGTAAACCAAAAATATTATTTGCAGTCTTATTTCCAACCAAAACCACTTGAACACAGATCAAGTCATACTTATGACCTCCAAAGTCGTAAGTAGGAGCTTTTTTGTTGTGAACAATTTTTTATTTCCAATACTAAACAGAAAACAAAATGTACAAAATGTGCAAATAAATGTTTTCCCCCCTGAACTCTCTCCCTCCACCCCCACCCTCCCATCCACCCCCACCCCCAATTGGAAAACTGGCACAATTAACACACAAACAAAAGATAAACACCATACATCTACAATAGCTTAGTATTTGCGTCCATATACATAGATACACGCATACCCTTACTAACACATAAAAAAAAAACGTAAATAATTAATAAATAAATAAATAATTTGCCGGAGTTAACAGAGTGAAAACAAAGAGAGTAAGTAGGAACTTCTGAGGAGGACTTGAAGGCAGCATTATTGCTATTTCTATTAATGCCTTGGGTTTCAATAGATCTGAACATAATGCTTGTAAATATCTAAGTTCTGAATATTGTTTTTTTTTTAATGGTTTTAAATATTAGTAGTTGTGATTTGTAGATAGCTGGCTTGCTTACCTTCCCAAAACCTGCCAAGCTGTATTTTTGGCCATGTGACACAGGCTCTGTTTTACATTTTAATATCCCATTGATGGTGTCAACCGGACACAACAGAGCTCAAAAACAGACTGTACACACAGGGCAGGGGCTCACGCCCCCTTCTGGTGACTACCTGTGCAAGTGCCTGCACACTATACTGCACTACATCCAATAAAACAGGGTTAGTTATGCTCTCATGAACACTTGGTATCGTTGAGGATTGAACTTGCAATCCCCTCATCCTAACGTAATTTATCACGATAACCGGAGCACATTGTGCCATATTGCCCACCTCTGTCTCATAATTCTGATTGCACTTTCAAATAGATGGACGTCATGCGTCTCAATCAGGTAACAGTGAAAATGCAAAATATTAAATAGAAAAAAGTGAAAAAGAAAGATTAGGTGGACTGGAATGTGTGAATGCAGCATGTACTGTAGTTCCCTCGCTCGGCTCTGCTTAGAGACCCCCACGAGCATGCACACAGAGACGGTTATCCACGCCTGCATGCGATTGGCTGCTTGACTGGTTTTGATTTATTCTGCTGCTGATGATAATTAATGGGCCGGTATTGTTTTCTGGCCTTTGTTGTTTCACCGCAGTGCTGTTTTCCACATTTCTCTTGTTTGTTTTCCCAGCTTTTATTTATTAATAACATTTTGCTCCAGGTTTTAAAGGAGTAGATCAGGCAAACATGCTAACGTGGCTAACAATGGATGTAGCCAGCATCGATTAGCATGATGTCATTTGCATAATGCTAATTGAGGGCCATTTGCTTTCACTCACTGTTAGCCACATTAGCTTTTATTGACTGAATAAGTCCTTTATAAGGAACCCAACGAGCTGGACAGCCTGTTTCTTAGAGGTTTCGTTTTAGACCTGCCACTGTAAATGATCTGATTTGGCGGCAGATCCTGGTTCTGTTGGGTGTAAATGTGTTCATCTGCAAGTGCTGAGTTATTCCCTCACACAAGCGCTCTCAGACAGAGCGCCGAATGCCACCAGATGACTTCAAATAAAGCGGGGAGCCTTGCTGTCCACGCCATTACTCCTCCCCATAAAAGATTAAAGATTTTGCCACATTTTATCAAAACTACAGAACATCTGCTCCCCACAGGGAGAAGAACTGCAGGTACCTGTGACTGTAAAAGAGTAAAAGAGCACACTCAGTGACAATTTGGTTGCTTTTATTGTCAAAAGCACTCACTATAGCGTAGTCATAAACTTGATATTTAATCTCTACTGCACCGTTTTTCTTTTCATTTGTCTATAAACTCTGTGGGCTTCTGCATATTTCATGTCCCTGATAGAGGAGGCAGTGGCTTTTTGTATGGAAAAGCAGCAATGTTAGCATTTAAAGGAACTGCATTTTTCAACCTATTCTCTATCTGCCACATCTGTAGCTTATGGTCTATTACAACAAGCAAAATTTTCCCTGGACGTTGGTTTGAAGCACACTTATCATAGAAGTCGAAGGCAACTGCCCACTGATTTATGCAAACCTCAGTTCAAAGAAATTTGTGACCGTATGTGAAATTCTAATAAAAACAGAGAGCAGTGATTTGTAACCCCTTTCATCTGCATTTCACCAGCCCACTTCCTTTAACTCTGCTTTCCTCCAGAGTTTAGTTCCAACCGGCATCGAACATGCTGTTCTCCCCTTAAGCCAGGGTTACGCTACTTGACCTTTACCCCAATTTTAGCCCTGATTCTCAGTCTGGCAGAGTCTGAGCTGGTTGATTCTAGTCTGCAGATGTCTGGGTCAGTTGGAGTCGACAGTTGGAGAGAGAGTCGAGTCGTGTCTGAGGGGCGCAGACTCAGATTTTTGGCCTCCTGATCGCATTTTAGACCAGTCAGAGTTTATTAAATATTTATTTTTTTCGACCCGACTCTGAGTGTAATCTAGTGTAAACTGATCAACGACTCAATCTGAATGGATTCCTGCAACAGCCAATGAAAACTGAGAGTGCGAAAGAAGAAATTACAGCAAATAAACAAAGAAAAATGGCGGAAAGGCTCTCACGTGTGGAGTCAAGCTTCTTAATGAGCAGAGTTTAAGGAACAATCAAGTTTATGTACGTTTAAAACTAAAAAATACCAACTGATCACATGTTTACCTGCTGATTCTTTACTGTGTCGGCGCAAACGGCAGAGAAAACAGCAGCTCACGTTTGTTTATTTGCGTCTCCTAGTAAAGGGAGTTCATGTGAGTTTGCATGAGTTCAGTGACTCCCGTTCAGTTCAGCAACAGCTTAAAACTTGAGTTGTGTGTGATCTCTAATCTTTTAGTGTGGATCCCCAATATTTCAGTCACCCAAAAAAATCTGCAGAAACCAGTCGTATAGTGTGAGATGCCCAGTCTGTTTATAATCTGATCAGACTTTAAAAGTCGTGTAGTGAACCCAGTGAGCTGAGTGGTGACCAATCAGATTGTTGATATATGGGGTGATAACCATTTGTGTCACGCCCACGTCACGCAGTGAGATTTAACACCAAAATACACACAGAGTAGGAGATATAACAGTTGACAAAACATTATAATTATGTTAGACTATTTTTTAATAAAAAAAAAAACAATATTAGGCTACTTTGGTGAAAAAATCCACATCAAAACTGGATCACTTGGAGTCTTCGGTCCGCAAATGATTATTAAGTTCTGTAAAAAGGAAAAGTGGTGTAACTCAGTGGTAAACAGGCTTTTATCCCAGCTTTTTTGGAATGTGTTGCAGGCATCCAATATTTCCAAAAACAACAATAATATCCTTAAGGCAAAACATGAAATATCGTGTTTTTGATTTAATACAGGTCAAACTGTGTATAAGCTCTGCGGACAAAAAATCAGTCACGACCTTAAACACACAAGGTGAGCTTGTGAATAAAAATTGCTTCGCTACCAGACAAGAATTGTTTCTAAGAGTCAACACAGGTTCTTCACAACCAATTTCTGAAAGAACACAATTTTTATTCACAAGCCATGAAACACGCCAGCGGTCCCTGTCCATCAGTTTCGTCTTTCGGCCACAATACTGCCGAGAATTTCCTGTAGGCTGGGATTTTCACCACTGCTAGTCAACCTGTATGACCTTTGATACACCTATACGTTCGGCTACTACCTTCACACTGTGGCCTTTGGACCAAATGCAGTCGCTCCTTTTTGCCAAACATTAACATCTGCTTTGTGACCCATTTTTCACACATGGAACGAGATATTCGCTGCACTGTACCACCTTTTCTCAATCTATGAATCCCGTCACAGGTATTTATAGCCCGATCATCCTCGTGCAGCACCATCTGAAGTTACTACCACCTTAAACACACAAGATGACTAATTTATAGTCCAGGGAGATTACTAATCACTGCTTTCTGTTTTTATTAGCATCACATACTGTCCTGAATTTTTTGCGATCGAGGTTTTTATTATAAGTGTGCTTTGAGGGGAAGATTTGTGTTCTTTTATCAAGTGCAGGGAAACACATTGAAATGACTGTCTCTGGTAATCAGCTGAATGCTACAGATGCAGCGGATAGAGAAGAGGATGAAAAGTGATATTAGTTTAAGATCAGAAGTGACAGGCGGAGAAGGACTAGCCTTGGAGATATGAAGCCTGTGATTAATACAAACCATCTCCTCGTTGGTAAATCAACTCTCTGTCTCTCTCTCGCGCACACAGTGAGTATTCCAGCGAGTGAGAATGAGTCGGTGAATACTGATAACGCTCCAGCTGGAGACATGGAGGGAGAAACCTGCTGCACTCGCCTAGCGTAAGTAACTCTGCTTCACCTCTCTCTCTCTCTCTCTCTCTCTCTCTCTCTCTCTCTGTCTCTCTCTCTCTCTGTCTCTCTCCTGTGCTCTTTCCCCTTCCTGTGTTGTCCACCTTCTCTTCTCTCCTTTCCTGCATTACTTTAAAATTTGTAGGCTTTAAGTTTAGGCCTTTTACTTCTCAACCCTCTTCTATTACTTTTTCTAAAGTAAATAAACTTAGTTACGTTTTTAGGTAATGAGAGACGTAATTTGTCTGATACTGACAAAGATACAAAAAATGACAAGAGTGTGATGCAAATGTAAAATGTAAATACTGTACTGTCCAAAAGTCTGAAACCACCCTCTTTTCTTTAATTTCCTGTTGAAAATTTGAGTAAAAGTTATTCATTTTCAGCGCCAGAAGCCTCAACAACTAATTATAATATCAAATCTATGAGTGACTCATTTGTCCACTCTTTACATTTGCGCACCTGATGCCACTTTAATTCTTCCATTCCTCCAATCTTAAAACCAACCAGTTGCAGCTGCAAGATACATGCTAACATTCACCCAAACACCTGCCCAAACTCACCCCTTTAGATATAACATTAGATATAAGAAAATCCACTGGCATAAGGAAGGAGAAAGTCAAAGCACAAAAAGAGGAGTTTCCAAAACTGCAGTTCAAGAAACTGATTAAAAGCTACAGTGAAAATGGGGCTCCTAACAACCATCTGGAAGAGCTGGTCGACCCCAAAACTGCCCCATCAGATAAACAGCACTTAAAGCTTTCATCTTTGAGAGAGAGGAGAAAATCAAGCTGCTTCAGATCTGAAAACATCCACAGGTGTTTCTGTCCATCCTTCCACTGTGAGAAGACGACTCAGCGCTGTGGGTCTGAAAGGATGTGTAGCTGATTAAGAAGAACCTCACTGAGAAAAGGAGACATCAAACAAAGAAGCTGAACAATGGACTGACCGCCCCAGAGTCCAGACCTCAACACCACTGAATGTGTTTGATTACTTCAGAAAATGATCAACCAGCTTCTAAGACTGAACTTTGGAGGTGTGTCTGCAGATTCTTTGAGGAACTGAAAGTGAGTCTCCTGAACAGAATGGAAGCTGGAATAAAAGGAGAGAGAGACTCACTGACTCACACAGCTGAGATTTAGTTGTTGAGGCTTCTGTGTGAATTTCTATTAAATGTGTGTTTTTCCTGATGCTGAAATGAGTGACTGAACTGAGTAGCTTGTACTAAATGGCTGTTTTGACTGGATATTAAATAAATGAAGGGTCTCTGACTTTTGCACAGTACTGTATGTAGAAGAAGAATATACAGTTGTCTTTCACGTGCTGTATAGATTGTATATTCTTTCAGCTTGTGACTCTAGTGAATCGAGCACAACTGTTTTTGTTTCTGTGGAGGAGCACATACTTTCCATACTGCCATATCATAGTACAGTGGCTTAATAAATATTCTGCACAGAGACAGAGCAGGTCCAGCGGCGTTTTAGGGCCACTGTTTATAAAAATAAAAAGTAGACTTCGAGAAAAAAGTCGTAGTATTTAGAGAAAAAAAGTCGTAGAATTATGACATTAAAGTGGCATTAATACCAGGAAAGGTCAATATTGTGGCCAAAGCCTTTGCGAAGTGAAGGCAGCACCTCCTGGTGTTAAATGAGGGGCAGTGAGTTGGTGGAGTTCTACTTTCATATCGATTCACCCATAAAGAAACACTCAGTCTCCCTGTCTCTCCTGCACATCAGCACCAGCCTGTTATTAGGATAAGAACCGGCTGAAACGGCTGAGCAGGAAACTGTGTTTATCTAGAATAAAGAGCCAGACGGACTCGGAGGAAACTGTCTGTCTGTGTTGTTGAAGGAGAATCTCAGGCAGGGTCGTCTACACGGCTATCGGGGCTCCATCTCCACACCATTCAAAGAGGGCATGAAGTTTCACAGACAGTGAGAATGATGATCAAAATGATCCACAGAGAGACAGGAGTGAGTGGAGCTCCGACGCCAGTACAGCAACCGAGACCCCAACGCGTTATGGCAGCCCCCCTACAGTACAACAACCGAGACCCCAACGCGTTATGGCAGCCCCCTACAGTACAACAACCGAGACCCCAACGCGTTATGGCAGCCCCCTACAGTTGGCCCACTTTATCCTCCAAATATTACGACTTTATCCTCCAAATATTTACAACTTTATTGTCGAAGTCTACTATTAATGGTGGCCCTAAAACGCCGTCATAAGCAGGAGAGCACAGAGCACAAATGAATTCTGCCTCATTGCTGGGTCAGCAGACAATGGGGCTGGCTGTAGCATTTGTAAATATTAGAAATCAAATGAAAAAATGAAAATTGGACAGTGATGATAGATTGATCGAAGTAAATAGACCTAGTGAAAAGAGGCTATGTGTCAAACATGTCAAACATTGGCAAATTTATTTTAGACTACAATGTCGAAGTGCAAATATCAGCTTAATAAAACTGAAATATGTTTTATTAATATGATATCTATAGTATATGTTTGATTTCACATTGAGAATAAGCCAAAAAATGCCCCAAAATACCTTGTGTTAAATGTATATGGTGGTAAATGGAGTTCTCGGATTGTTTACTTGGGGGATCTGTAACAGCGTGTTAAGCTACCACCCCCCCACCCCCCCCACCCCCTTTGTGGAGGCTGTACTTTAGCCATTTATTCCACTTTAATCTTAATCTACACTCTAAAAAAGATGGTTCTTCAGGGATGGTTCTGTTTATAACCATGAACACTTAAAGGGCTCCTTGCATGAGTAAATGGTTCTTTGTATGGTGAAAGTGTTCTTCACATTGATGAAGAATGTGCTGTAGATGGCTCTACAGAACACTGTAACAATAAAAGAACCCTTTTGGTGCTATACAGAACCCTTTTCAAAAAGGTTCTATATAGAACCATATACAGCACATTCTCCATCAAATGAAGAACCCTTTCACCATGCAAAGAACCCTTTAATCATGCAAAGTGATCTTTTTAAGAGTGTAAATTTTAAAAAATGCACGTTAGGTTGTGCTCCCCAAATATAGTTCAGAAGCAGGTGAGGGATTTTTTGCTCAAAGCTGCTTTAATGGTTTAGACACTAACATTAGGTGGATCTCAGACAGATTAAAGGGGGACTTCACCATTTTTTCCAAATTTCTGCTTAATTCAATCGTTGCGATGTAGACAGAGTAATCCAGAGCGGTTTGGTGTGAAATAGTTCAGATGTCTTTACAGTGGTGGTGATAGGAACCAGGGGTCGCCATGACTACAACACAAATATAGACATTTTATTTATTATCCAAAACCACCAGTGAACCTACACGAGTCTTCTGAGTTTATATGGCATGTTGATGATGGAAAATAGCGGAAAATCTGAAATAATAAGTTTTCTTTGAGGACTGTTTTGTTGTGAGGCACAACACCCTGCATGAACCCCTCCACCATGAATGGATTTTGTTTCAAGCCAAAACCTTCTCAAAACTATCATAGAACAATGTCCCAGACATCTTCAGACGTCTGGTTCCTATCACCGCCACTGTGAACAATTCTGACTCGGTAAGTTTCTCTAGAACTGAGCGTTTCACACCAAACCACTCAGGATTACTTTTTACATCTTAACCATTCAGTTATGCAGAGAATTTTGAAAATTCTGGTGGAATTCCCCTTAAAATATAGAAGATGAATACAGCAGAAAGTTTTCTCTCTTTCATTTCCTCCCACTTTCAATACAAGCCATCTCTTTGATCGTGATGAGCTTTTTGTGGTTTGTTACGCACGTGTTATGTTATTTCTTGCCTTTCCTTGCTGTCTCTCTCTCTCCTTCTCCTTCTCTCTCTCTCTCTCTCCCTCTCTCTCTCTCTCTCTCCTGCTTCTCTGTGGGTGCTATTCAGCCGCTTCCTCAGCTTGGCATAGCCACAAGGGGGCCCTAGCTCATAATAAACGAGCCCTGTGAATGTGATGTGCTGATTTGGTGTGGGTCTCTGTGTGGTGAAGCAGGAGCCGCTGACTGCACCTCTCTGTCGCTCTCCTTGGAGACGATGTCCTCCATGATGTCATGTCCTTGTTCTGTTTGTATAATCCATTCTGTTTTTCGTTCCAGAAATAGGATCTCCAAATCCAAGTTCAGGTTAGTACATGTTCTCACTGTCTGAAGGCATGGTTTGCCGCCCGATGCCCTCCTCAAAGCTCTTCATATATGTGTGTTCGTTTACTCGTGCACTGTACATCCGTTCTGTGTGTTGTGCTCTTTCCGTTTGTGTCCCGATCACAGTGAGACAGTTGCTATGGTTACCCCTAAGTGCCCTTAGCCAATAAAACCAGGGTTTGACATGCTGAAGAGAGGAAACTTTGTTTTGAGTCACTCTCATATTAGCAGTTTTAACCCGCTTTGCACTGAATTACCTGCTGAAATAATTTATGTTGATTTGAACTGACACTACATGGATTTCCACTAATGGAAACTAATACTCGCTGCCTTAAAACTGCAGTTATATTTATGTGTACTCTCTCTCTCTGCCTCCCTCCTCCTTCCTCTGTCTGCAGCCGATATTCACGCCGCTGGAATCGTCTGTGCCGGCGTAAGTGTCGGGCTGCTGTGAAATCAAACGTGTTTTACTGGCTGGTGATTTTTTTAGTGTTCCTGAACACTCTCACCATCGCCTCGGAGCACCATCAGCAGCCGCAGTGGCTCACAGATGTACAAGGTAATCAACAATGAATAACTAGCTAAAATAAGATGTTCTGAGGAGCTCAAAGCCTTTCATCAGCACACAAAGACTCACTGTTACTGAATGTGCAGGCAATGATGCTTACAGCTACACTCTACTCCAAAGCTATACAGTTTTTGTTGATGCAAATGAACATAGGTGCCAGCTAGAGGGGGCAATACCCCACCAACCCTAACACAGAGCTCGAAAACAAAAACCATGGTGATAATACTGAGTTGGGCCGTCTGAAAACGGCTGAAACAGTAGTTTCTGGTTGAGAAATCCCACTTTGAGAACCACCGTTCAGGTGAATTTTCATTTTCTTTCCCCATTTTCCATCATCTTCAACTCTCCCGCTCACAGATATCGCCAACAAGGTCCTCCTGGCCCTCTTTACCGGCGAGATGCTTCTGAAGATGTACAGTTTGGGCCTACAGGCGTATTTTGTCTCTCTCTTTAACCGCTTTGATGGTTTTGTGGTGTGCGGTGGGATCCTGGAGACGATCCTGGTGGAGACAAAGATCATGTCACCTCTTGGCATCTCAGTGCTGCGCTGCGTGCGCCTGCTGCGCATCTTCAAAATCACCAGGTAAGTGCAGAAGTCAAGTGTGCAGAGAGTCAGCGGTGAAGCCAAAGCAGTGGCGTTGGCTATCACTGCAGTCTTATTGGCCAACCTGGGTGCCATCCAAAACCTTTATTCACATAACGGGCTGATTAGAATGACATTATGTGCAGCAGAGTGAAACAAATGTAAGATTTGTAAAACCGCAGCTTGGTTGTAGTTGTAATTAGAAAAAAGCTTCACGCTCCCTAGTTAGACTCAGTGGCAGAAGCAATTAAAATCTCCATTTAAATGTCATTTCCTAGATTGATTAGATGCATTAGTGTTGAGTTAGAGGGGAGAGATCAACATGCAGATTGGAACTAAACTCTGCAGGAAAGTAGATCTCCAGGAAGAGGGTTAGTAACCTCTGCTCTACAGCATGTGAAGCTTCAGAGTTACCCATTCATCCAACGTCTATGTTATAATTTCAGTTTGCATAAAAAAGGTAGACTGCAGTCGGCCTTTGTCTTGATTTCTGGGCCATTTTTGAGAAATGCACTTGTTTTAGGGTTTTTGAACTTTGGATCCCCTGAATTTGCCTTTGCCCCCCAGTGGATACCCAATATATACAGTCCTGGAATCGCCACTGCAGAGTGAGATTTGGAGTCTGTGGTTCTAAGATACATGATCCTCTTAATCTGGCTAAAGTAGTGAGGAACATCTGAAGTTGCTGGAAATAAACTCTGCAGGAGGGCAAATCTTCAGCAACCTCACTGCTGGGCTTTAGCTAATTCTTCAGTGATATGAAGCTGAAGTCAGCTATTCGTCAGCTTCTTGTTCGAATTTTCCTGTTCAAGCATAAAAATTACTAGAAGTGTGCTGATGTCTTGGTAGCAAGCTAGCAAAATTTCCTGTTCCACCTTAAATAGTCCGGCAGTTCTGAAGCCTGAAGCGCCAGAATGTAACTGCTGCTCCATTTAAGCTGGAACAGGAAATTTTGCTAGCTTGCTACCAAGACATCAGCATACTTCTAGTATTTTTTATGCTTGTTATGAAGAAAACAATCATAAAACACTGAAATGACATTAAACTAAGATCATATGATGGTTATCGTACTTTTTAACGGAGAAAATTCTCACATTTGCATCTCTTTGGTCTCTTGTTCTCCATCTTGCCGGTTTTTCTTTTTTTCTCATATCTCTCTGTTTGGAGTCTCTGAAAAACCTCTGTTTGAAGGGTCATGTAGCCCCAACACTTCACCCTCCCCCTCTATCTCAACAAGAATCGGGACACCCTACCCCTAGACATGAACGCACACAAAATGGAGGGGCAGGGCTAAGTGGTAGGGGCGAGGGTTGAAATGGGATTGGGCCTAACTCTCCTTCTTGTGGTCCTCAGGTACTGGAACTCTCTCAGCAACCTGGTGGCATCTTTGCTGAACTCCGTGCGCTCCATCGCCTCCCTGCTGCTGCTGCTCTTCCTCTTCATCATCATCTTCAGTCTGCTGGGCATGCAACTGTTTGGCGGGAAGTTCAACTTCGACGAGACACGTCGTAGCACCTTTGACAACTTCCCCCAGTCTTTACTCACAGTCTTTCAGGTCTGCTTTCATTCACGTTTTACATGTAAAACATACCAAAGTAATTTTCCTTTACAGTATTTATGCATTTTTTTGTTTTATTTGCTGCAACGGTTACAGATTCTGACTGGAGAGGACTGGAACTCAGTGATGTATGATGGGATTATGGCGTATGGTGGGCCGTCATTTCCTGGCATGCTTGTGTGCATCTACTTCATCATTCTCTTCATTTGTGGAAATTGTATCCTTTGCAGCACAAAGCGTTAATCGTCTTGTTGCGGTACCATCCTGAGCTGCCCCAGGCCCAGTCCCAGGTCTCTCTACCACACCAGAGGAAGAGCAGACTTTGTGTACTGAATGGATATCGGGCTTTCCTAGTGAATGTTGATTGTCTTGAATGGAGAATCTAGAGGGTGTTGCCGGTAGTGCTGCTAAAGCTAGAGCTGCTAATGGCAGTGCAAATACTCAGACCTTTATCGCTCATCTAGATTAATGACGCATGTGCCCTATATTTTAATTCAAATTTAGACTGTGCCTAATTTCTTAAACCTGTATGAAATCAAGTGACGAAAAGCTCCTGAGCTAAAAACAGACATCCTCCTCAATGTGTTCTTGGCCATCGCTGTGGACAACCTGGCAGATGCGGAGAGCCTGACATCAGCTCAGAAAGAGGAAGAGGAAGAGAAGGAGAGGAGGAAACTGGCCAGGTACTGGAACCACAGAACATCTCGGGAAAACTCTCAGTGACCACTGATCTCTTCTGAGTTGTACTGTTGTGCAAAAACCTTTTTTTTGTTGTTGTAATTTTCACAATTTGAAAACTCCAGTTACTGTTTGCATTGTGTTAAAATTCCTTTATAAATGAAAAAAAACAGATAAAGTCATTTGAACGCAAAAAATCTTATATTTTTTCTAATATGTATATTATATCTTATATATTGAATTCCACTCACAGTTAAGAATGGCTTTTGCTTTTCCTATAAAGTTACCATTTTAATGATTCAAGAGACAAATACACACACATACACACATATATGTGTGTGTTTGTATATATGTGTATATATGTGTATATATATATATATATATATATATATATATATATATATATATATATATATGTATATCGCTGTTGTCAGAGGAAAACAAAATGGTAACTTTACAGGAGAAGGAAAAAATCTACTTTACTTTTAATGTAAGTCTATGGAACCAGACTTTCTTCCGAGTCATTTTGGGCCGTTTCTTTTGGTCCGTTCATCGTGACAATTACACACAATGTAAAGGGTAACAGGTATTTTCAAATTCTTTGAAAAACTGAAAAATGACAAAAATGTATATACAAGGTTTTCTTCCGACAACAGCGATATGTATGTATGCAGATGTACGTAGTACTGTGCACAAGTCTTCCAAAGCACACAGTCTAAAGCCATTTATCTCGGCAGTAAGTGTGTTTTGCCTGTAAAAACACCATATATCCTTAGAATAAATGTAAATAAACATAAATACAGTAAAGGGTAACAGGAATTTCTTATTTAAAAAAAAATAGCTGATATAAGTTACTTTGAAGAACAAAGTTTGGTTCCAGATTTCTCCTGGATGCCTCCAGACATCACATAGATGTTAAATTTGTTAAATTGCATCAGCAGCACATGATTTCATTCAGTGAAGTATTGATTAGATAAAGCAGATACTGGATGATAACTGCAAATACTACTGGGCTTCCTCAAGGAGAGGCAGGGAAGGGTTAAACATAAACAGTGGCAAACATAAAATTACTCCTTATTCTATTAATGTTATTTGTATTTATTGTAATATTAGTGTTTTCTGCGCAAATACTCAGTCTTGAGCTCCAGCTTTTTAAATGTAATTCTCAGGTGTCGACAGCTTTTGCTCAGTATGTACATATACTCAGTCATATATTAGCGGTACTGCACACTCAGCCGCTCAACACGTGTGAATAGTGATCGGCTCACCGTGACCAGCGTATTGTATGTCTCACAGAATGGCCAGTCCGGAGAAGCGGCAAGACAATGAGAAACCTCCAATAGAGGAAGAGAAAAGAGAAGAGAAGATTGAGCTGAAATCAATCACTTCAGACGGAGAAACACCAACCACCACCAAGGTAAGACGTTCACTGGAAGACGTTCGTTAAGATGATGCTCATTAATTGATTTCCCAACTGACTTTTTTCCATTCCACTGAAAACAGGAAACTCTGTTAGATATTCTGGTACTTAGACTACATTACACCTCCATAAACCCTTCATGACAGCTGACACAGACCTACATTTATACTTATTCCAATTGGCACAAAGTGTCAACTTGACAAAACATCTGTGTCAAGTTCCATTGATTTTTCTCGGACATTAGGCTGTTGTTACACTTTCTGGGGTCAAGTCAAGTCAAAGTTTATTTATATAGCACTTTTTACAGCAGGTGTGGTCACAGAGCAGCTTTACAGAAAAATCCGGGTCCGAGCCCCCATGAGCGTCGCCAATGGTGACGGTGGCAAGGAAAAACTCGCTAAGAGCAACAGGAAGAAACCTTGAGAGGAACCGAGACTCTAAATGGGGACCCATCCTCCTCTGGTCCACACCGGATAAAATATTAGAATACAAAACGGGAAAAACAGGTGGAGCAACGGTCAATTAGATAGTTTGAGTTTATGCAGCAGCAGCAGCAGCAGGAGGGTCAGTTCATGCAGGTGAGGTGCAGATCAGCCAACAGAGATGGAGCTCTGGTGACTCTAGCAGCTGTGATGGCTCACATGTGGCGACTCAGGCAGACGTCGCTCAGGGGCTCAAGTAAAGGGAGGGAGAGAGACAGACAGAGAGAGCAAGAGAGAGAGAGATTAACAGGACAGGTCAGTTTATTGAGAGATATTAGTGAGTTAATAGTGCAGCAACTGATATCAGCAGAATGCTTGTGCAGACAGAAGTTTTGAGTCTAGTTTTAAATGTGGAGAGTGTGTCTGAGTCCCGAACAGAGGTCAGGAGATGATTCCACAATGTTGGGGCTCCGTAGGAAAATGCTCGACCCCCTGCTGTGCTTATTCTAATTCTAGGAACCGTCAGCAGGCCGTTATTCTGTCAGCAGGCCGTTATTCTGTTAGCGGAGCGTACTGTGGGTTCGTATGACTGAACTAATTCACTGAGATACTTCGGGGCCATTTAATGATTTATACGTTAAGAGAAGGATCTTATACTCTACACCACATTTAACAGGTAGCCAGTGTAATGATGACAGGATTGGGGATATATGGTCAAACTTTTTGGTCCTTGTAAGACTCTAGCAGCTGCATTCTGGACCAGTTGGACCTTATTTATTAAAGTGTTGGAGCGTCCAGCTAAAATGGGTGAAATGGCAGCTTTTCAGGTCAGGCTGGTTGAACCAAAGTGAGCACTTTCTGTGGCTCTTAGATAAAGTGAATTGCATTTTAACATTTATAAGATTTAATCTGTGTCACATAATCAAAATCGTGTCAGAATATGTTGGGATGTAACAGAAAACGTATTGAGAATATGTATTCAGACTATAGAAATTATCTGTATTCAGTCCGAGTTACATTTTGCCAAGTCAGTATTCAGAATAGTTACTTTTACATTTGTAGAAAAACTTTTAGAAAACTTACCTACCAACCTTAAGAAATGTACCATCTTTAGAAGAAATGCTTGTTTATTAACTATTTTAAAATCACAGCATATAAAAGACTCCAAAGAAGAACTCAAAAACGGCTTCTTTACAGACACCGAAGCTCCTGCTAAAGCCTAAGTGGACTGATAAACCAAACTGATGAGCCAGTTATTAATCTCAGCATCACTAAACTCGTTTGAGGGATGATGGAACTGAACAGTCTCCTCAGTAGTGGACGTGTTTACCAGTGATAAGCTTAGTATTGGTGTTGTACTGGACTCATGCAGGTGTTTTGTGTTACCTCATCAACTGAAAATCACAGCTACCCGCTTTATAGTCAGATTCACAAGATTCTGTTGTTGAGATATGGTGAATTCTGCATAGAGCCAAAATAATGTCTCATCTAGATGGCCCAGCCCTCCATAACCTCACCATACTGGATGAAACAGAAGTGTTCTTTCTTTATTTGCTGCTTTCCTTCAATCCTGACTTGTGGTTTTTGTGTGTGACGTGCAGATCAATATCGATGACTACACAGGTGATGAGAATGAGGAGAAGAATCCATATCCAGTGAACGATTTCCCAGGTACCACAGCGCCAGTGTTAAAACAGGAGATTAATGTATCTGATCGCAGCACAGAACACAGAGATAAACAGTGAATGAGCCCCTATAGTCTAGTACACAAAGAATTATGTGTATGAGTGTGTATATAGGACACTCTCTAAAATAGCACCTGTAAGGTATAAAAACACAGTCATTGGAACAGGTTCTTTTAAAGGGCACATATTTTGAAATAAAGCTAAGCTGAGCTAAGATAAAATAAGATAAGATGCTGTATTTTCATTGCTTAGAGCAGCAATCCTAAATGTGCATTGACAAAAAAACATTAAACTAGGAATAAAATAATAATATATATAATAATAATATAAGCTAGTATACACACTGATCAGGCATAACATTATGACCATCTCCTTGTTTCTACGCTCATTGTCCATTTTATCAGCTCCACTTACTATATAGGTGCACTTTGTAGTTCTACAGTTACAGACTGTAGTCCATCTGTTTCTCTGATACTTTGTTAATAGCAGGTACTATTTTGGTGGTGGATCATTCTCAGCACTGCAGTAACACTGACGTGGTGGTGGTGTGTTAGTGTGTGTTATGCTAGTATGAGTGGATCAGACACAGCAGTGCTGCTGGAGTTTTTAAACACTGTGTCCACTCACTGTCCACTCTATTAGATGCACCTGCGTTGTTGGTCCACCTTGTAGATGTAAAGTCAGAGACGATAGCTCATCTGCTGCTGCACAGTTTGTGTCGGTCATCCTCTAGTCCTTCATCAGTGGTCACAGGACGCTGCCCACAGGACGCTGTGGGCTGGATATTTTTGGTTGGTGGACTATTCTCAGTCCAGCAGTGACACTGAGGTGTTTAAAAACTCCAGCAGCACTGTTGTGTCTGATCCACTCAGACCAGCGCAACACACACTAACACACCACCACCACGTCAGTGTTACTGCAGTGCTGAGAATGATCCACCACCAAAATAGTACCTGCTATTAACAAAGTATCAGAGAAACAGATGGACTACAGTCTGTAACTGTAGAACTACAAAGTGCACCTATATAGTAAGTGGAGCTGATAAAAAGGCCAATGAGTGCAGAAACAAGGAGGTGGTCAGAATGTTATGCCTGATCGGAGTAAAATGCACAATATTAAAGGGAAAGGCTGTATAATTTAAAATGATTAAAAAGTAAAATAAAAAAGGGTGAATATAAAAGAATGTAGTTGCTATGTTATTGTATATGAGGGTATTGCATGTTTGTGGATGGTTGTGTTTTTATTTACAAATAGTGGAGTTTAATAATAAATATAAATCTTCACATACCTCACTTTTTAATCCTCTGAGGTTTGAAGGCATTTTCTCGATTTGTGCATATCTTGTTTTAAGTAACTGTATCTTGTAAAAGTATCTTATTCCATTGGCAGATCATTTTACTTGTTTTAAGCAAAATGATTTTACTTTGTTTTAAGTAAAATGATCTGCCAATGGAATAAGACACTTTCACTGGATAAAACTACTTAAAACAAGTAAAAATGTACAAACAGGTGGAATAATCGTATAATGTATTCTTATAACAGTCTCATAATGAGAAATATTAGATTTATTAACTACATTTAAGATGTTTTCACTTGCTGAGATACCATTTTCTGCATTCAATGGCCACCATAACAAGCCTTTTCATTGCTCTCTCTCTTTCCTGCCTTCTCGTTCACTCATTTCATAGGAGAGGAGGATGACGAAGAGCCAGAGATGCCGGTGGGTCCGAGACCACGCCCACTTTCTGACATCCAGCTGAAGGAGAAAGCTGTTCCCATGCCAGAGGCCAGAGCCTTCTTCATCTTCAGCCATACCAACAAGTGAGAGGCTTTCTCCTCTCTCTCTCTCTCTCTCTCTCTCTCTCTGTCTCTCTTTCTCTCTGTCTCTCTCTCTCTCTCTCTTTCTCTCTCTCTCTCTCTCACTCTCTCTCTCTTTCTCTCTCACTCACTCTCACTCTCTCTCTCTCTCTCTCTCTCTCTCTCTCTTTCTCTCTCATTCACTCTCTCACTCTCTCTCTCACTCTCTCTTTTTTCTCTCTCTCTCTCTCTCTTTCTGTCTCACTCACTCTCTCACTCTCTCTCTCTCTCTCTCTCTCTCTCTCTCTCTCTCTCTTTCTCTCTCACTCACTCTCTCACTCTCTTTCTCTCTCACTCCCTCTCTCTCTTACTCTCTCTCTCTTTCTCTCTTTTTCCTGGGTTGCCAGTTTGTGCGTGCATTAGGCTCGTCCCTTCACCTACTGGCATCATATCAGAAACGCCTACCTTATAAAGTGCACTTTGTAGGTGGACAATTCTGCTTTTGACTGTTATTTTTATTGGAAAAACAAGTTTCCCACCAGGAAGCCCCGTATGAGGACCGTTTGAAGTTGGACAGTTGAGTCAGTATGTTGTCGTTTTTGATGCAGCTTTATGACGTCAATGCTATTTTGAGAAAGAAGCAACAATCCATCAGCCTGATCAAAGACCACTGTACAAATATAATAAATGGTAAAGTAAATTTAAACATGTAGCCCACTTTTTATTTCTGCTTCGTGCTCAGAAACACCAGTGAAACAGGGAATAGACTCCGGCAAGCTACTAAACTACAACAGCCATTTCACATCCTCTGTGTTTTCTTTACCTCCAATAAAAACCATGTGAACGTGCACAAAAACTACCACCCCACTTATGACTTCACTGAAGGCTTAGCTCCGCCCACTCTATTCACAACCAGTTGTGTCTTATGTCACTGAAGAGCTAATTTCCTGTAGAACCAAATAAGAATATCCAAATATGTATAATTCATTTTAACTAACAACAGCATTCTATCAAGTGGCGCATGCTTTCTGAGCTCTCACTGGCTGTTTTGAGGCCCCGTCTTAAAACTGTTTTTCTCATCGCTTTTCTCTAAACATCAGTTTCTAGAGCACCTGCATTCAGGAAATGTTACCTGTTCATTCCTAACCCTATTTTGAAGGATATTACAGTCTGCATGTATGATCGATTATTTACTAGAAAATGACCTGAAACACATTTTATAAATGCAGTGCCAAGTTTTTTCTTGATTAAACAATAAAATGATGAGATTTCAACAATCTGCTGGGTATAAATCTTTCTCTGGAGTGTGTCTTCACAGTTCTAATGTCATCCAAAGGCTAGATTTTTTAAGCATATGTATATGTATGCATATTTAAGTAGATCTCATTTGCATATCTAAATGTAATTTTTGCAAACCGTTAAGTACAAAAATACTCATGAGAATGTCAGTGAGCAACTGACAAAGATGGATCTGTTGTTAGTAAAAATTATTACATTCACCTGTAGTCTCTCAGAAAAGATGGTTCTTCAGAGGTTCTTCATTAAAGGCAGTGGTTCTATTCAGAACCATTCCCATGCTTAAATGATTCTTTGCATGATGAAATAGTTCTTCAGATTGATGGAGAATGTGTTGTTTTTGAAAATTGTTTGGTAACACTTTACTGTAGGGCGCTGTTCATAAGGCAACATGACACCTACATAAGCTTGTCGTGACAACTGACATAACCCTACATAATTGTTTATAAATGCTTGTTCCAATAAGCATCATTCACTATAAAGGTTACTTTTGCCAATTTTGATCAAAGTCAGCTAAAGTAGTCTTCATGACAGATGACGCCTGTTGTAATAAGCATTTATAAACAGTTATGTAGGGTTATGTCAGTTGTAATGACAACGTTATGTAGGTGTCATGTTGCCTTATGAACAGCACCTTACAGTGAAGTGTTACCAATTGTTCTATGTTGCACCAAAAAGGATTCTTCTGTTGTTACAAGGTTGATATCGTGTCAATAGAAAAACCCTTTTTGTGCTATATAGAATCATATACTTCACACTTTGAACAGAACTCATTGTTCCAACTATACAAACCCTTGAAGAACCATCTTTTTTAAGTGCATAGAAGACCTTGGAGGAAGCTGTTCAGATTTCAGAAATATCTGGACTATTAAAAGTCTTGGAGAGATCCATAATGAGTAGAGTTTAGTTTTGTAACCCCTCTCAAAACAAAAATAGACCTGTACAGTTTTCGTTGAAAAATGAAAGAAATCAGTGTAAGAGCTTATATGCACTGAAAAACCCCACTCCTGAGCTCAAATCCAGCCTCTTTAGCAGATTTCTTAATCGGATTTCTGGGCTTTAATCCGATCTCAGAAATCAGAGCGTGCACTTCACACAACCCCTTAATAATCGGATAACTGCCGAAATTGGACAATGATCATATTATTAAGTGCATGTAAACGAACATGCCCAACAATCTGTTCTGTAAAAATCTTTTTCTGAAGTGTGTCTTCATAATTCTAAAGTCATCCAAAGGCTAGATTTTTGGTATTCAAATCTATTGATGAATATACATATTTAGGTAAATAACATCTCATTTGCATATCTAAATGTAATTTTTTCAAAACATATGTCATTAATGAACTGGCAAAGGTGCATTGTGATATCTATGGTTATTAAAATGTCCTTATTTCCCTGTAGCCTCTCACTTTAACACACCTAGAAGACCTTGGTGGAATCGGACTGCAAAAATATCTGTACTCTTGGAGAAATCTATGATGAGTAAAGAGTTTTAGTTTTGTAAACCCCTCTCTCTCTCCCCTTCAGGTTTCGGGTTTTGTGTCATAAGATCGTCAACCACAACATCTTCACCAACCTCATCCTCTTCTTCATCCTGCTGAGCAGCGTCTCTCTGGCTGCGGAGGACCCGGTGAAGAGCGACTCATTCAGAAACCAGGTTGACATGCAAATACACGCTCACGCTCATTCAGCTTCTGTGGTTGTTCTGTTGAGTCACTAATACGTGCTAATCCGTTTTGTTCTGTCCTGCAGATTCTCGGCTATGCAGATCACGTGTTTACAGGTCTCTTCACCATAGAGATCATATTAAAGGTGAAGTATGTTCTCTGTTTGGATGTCATCATATTAATTCTCACCCACTTACTCGCTCTTCAAAGACACATTTCTCGGCGTTGCCTTTGCTGAGGTCACACCTTAGAGATATTTTTCAAATAAAAATATGAGATCTTGGATATGGTGTTCATTTGTGGCAGAAAAGGTCGAAACTCATCTCCACAGCTGCTTTGTAATAATGTAAGGCAGAGGAATCGGAAGATGCACTGCAGAAAATAGTATCTTGTCAAGTGAAATGATCTTAAATATAGTTAATAAATCTAATATTTCTCCTGTTGAGATCGTTCTGAGCTTAATTTAAGATTTTTTTCCTTATTTCTAGACATGTTTCACTTGTTTTTAGTCATTTTTATCAAATAAAATGATCTCACTATACTGGCAGATAATTTTACTAGTTTCAAGCACATTTCTTAAAACAAACACAATTACCTGTCAATATAGTGAGATAATTTTACTTAATAAAATTACAAAAAACAAGTAAAAATGTCTAGAAATAAGGAAAATAATCTGAAATTAAGCTCACAACAATCTCAACAGGAGAAATATTAGATTTATTGACTAAATTTAAGATAATATCTTAGTAGGACTGTTCGCTTCAAAAATGTTGTATTTTGTATTTTGTAATCTTGTATTTTGCTTGTTTTAAGTAAAATTACTTAAAACATGTAGAAAATGTCTGGAAATTAGTTAGATAATTTTATAATAAGTGCACAAACATCTGAAAATAAGAAATATTATATATATAGACTAGATTTAAGATCATTTCACTTGAGAAGATACCATTTTTTGCAGTGTAGTAGGACAGTAGGACTGTATGTTAGTATACAGTCCTACTACATATTAGTGTAGTGATTTTGTGATATTAGTGATTTTGTTTTATTGATCCAAACAACAAAACTTCTGATATGTTACAATTGAAACTTTCCCTCACCCATTTACTGACCTCTTTCAGGAAGTTTTCCATATGAAACTTTTACTGTCCCACTGATTCTGACATTGTGTGCACATGATATCATTACTGCAACTACAGCTTCTGTATTTTATTGATTTATTGTTGTGACATTGATGTGAATGTTTTGCTATTGGTAAGAAGTAACTCTTAATACACTGCTTAAAAATAATATTTCAACAAGTGAAAACATCTTAAATGTAGTTAATATATTTATAAGAAAAACAAGTATCTCCAAAATAGTAACTTTACAGGTGAAGGCAAAAACGCTCGTATCTTTCAATGTAAGTTAATGTAAAGAGGTTTTACTCTGAATGATTTTAGTGCGTTACTATTGGTCCATTCATCATAAAATGTTCACACAACATAAAGGAAAGCTTGTGTGTTGAAATGATGTAGAAAAATAAAAATCAACAAAAATGGAGATACTTTTTTTTTTTGGACAGTGATATCAAAATATGTCTCATTATGAGTCTGCTGTAAGAATATTGTAAGATTATTTCACTTATTTGTAGGCATTTAAGTAATTTTATCTTTTAAAAAAAGTGTTTTATTCCATTGGCAGATCATTTTACTTGCATTTTTGTCTAAATAAAGAAAATTATCTTTACTATTTTTCAAAACAAATGATCTGCCAGTGAAACAAGACACTTTCTCTAAATAAAAAGACTTAAAACAAGTATAAATGTATAGAAACAGGTGTAATAATCTTATAATATTCTTACAGAAGTCTTATAATGAGAAATATTAGATATATTAACTCCATTTAACTCCCCTTAATGTCTTTTCTGTGCAGATGACAGCGTATGGCGCGTTCCTACATAAGGGTTCCTTCTGTCGTAACTACTTTAACATTCTGGATCTGGTGGTGGTCAGTGTCTCTCTCATCTCCTCAGGGATTCAGTGAGTACAGGCCGAATCCGGTGTTTGGTCCAAACCCAGCCGAAAGGCTGAGCAGCTTATGGTGCATGACGCAAGCGGGTGAAGTAACCCGCTACACTCCTGAAAAAGACGGTTCTTCAAGGGTTCTTTAGTAAAGGGAATGGTTCTTTGTTGAACCATGAAGTCTACATAGAATGCGCATGGTGAAATGGTCCTTCAGATTGATGGAGAATGTGTTGTGGGTTCTATACAGCACCAAAAAGAGTTCTGCAGTTGTTATTAGCCAACATCATAACAATAGCAGAACCCATTTGGTGCTATGTAGAGCCATGTAGAACAATCTGAAGAGCCACACTGCAAAAAATGATATTTTAGCCAGTGAACACATATTAAATGTAGTCAATATGGCTAATATTCCTCATTATGAGACTGTTGTAAGAATATTAACAGATTATATTCCAGCTGTTTCTGTACACCTTTCCTTGTTTTAAGTAATTATATCTAGTAAAAGTGTCTTATTCCACTGTCAGATCACTTCACTTGTTTTGAGAAATAATGAAGATAATTTTGCTTAAAATGATCTGACAGTGGAATAAGACACTTTCACTAGATACAATTACTTAAAACAAGCAAAAATATCTGGAAATAAGTTAAGTAATCTTACAGTACTCTTACAACAGTCTCATAATGAGAAATATTAGCCATATTGACTACATTTAATATGCGTTCACTGGCTAAAACATCATTTTTTGCAGTGCATTTCACAAAGCAAATAACCATTTAAGCATGAAAGGGTTCTATATCGAACTTTTGGTTCTAAACAGAAAATCTCACTAATTTAATTTCACTAAAGAACCCTTGAAGGACCATCTTTTTAGGAGTGTACCTTGTTTGGTGCAGAACAATCAAACTTTTCTTTAGTTCGGGTCATTCTGACAGGTCTGTACGCACCAGAAGAACTTGTTTGGTGCCCACCAAAGAACTGAACTGTGGTCCGTCACAGAGCCCTTGTTCAGTTCCAAGCTGGTGGGATGCATTTGTTATGATGGTAGTGGTCCACACCAAACATGGGAGGAGTTCCTCTTCTTCTAGGAGCATGTTAGCGCTGTACTGTTTACATAACCTGCCTGTTTTAACGTCTGACCTTTGACAGACACTCATACTGTTCCCGCAGCACGAGCAGCTGATAAAAACATCAGCCGAACGGTGAAATAATTGTGACGTGTTGCGTTTGATTTTGCCACGTGGATTACAGAATTTTATTTGGAATTTATTTGAATTTTTTTAATTTGCAATTTATTTATTTATTTATTTTGCCTAGCATCAGCTTGATTGGTTAAATTCATACTGACAAACCCATCATAAAGAAGCAGATATCAAGTAATGTTTAATATTATTGCTTTGATTGTGATCCCATAGCTGTTAAGCGTCTATTTTGATGAAAAGTGGGTGTTTTTTTGTCTCAAATGGTGGCAAATATGAGAGAAACAGAGGGCTTATATCTGAGCAGTAAATAAACACACATTTTTGTAATTTAAATTAATATTTTAATAAGTTAATACTGTTGAATATGGTCTCAGTATGTGCTAAAGTGCTAGTATAGGCTAACAAATATAATATAAACAAAAACACAGACTTACTTTGCTCAGCTTTAAGCTTTAGCTTGTCTATAGCCACTTTTCTCACATCTCCGGCAGGAAACTTTTCCTCTTACAGTTTCTGTAATTTAAATTAAAAAGGTCATACATTAAATTAGTTTATAATAAACTTACAACAACCTCAAAATGAGAAATATCAGGAATACTGACTAGATTTAGAATCATTTCACTTGTGAAGTTGTTATTTTTTGCTATGTGCACTTTAAAAGAGTATTTAGCTCACTGTAGAGCCATGAAGCAGCAGCTTGTGTAAGTTCTCCTTTGTGTTGTTTCTGGCCAAACCCTGTTAGACTAAGCTCTGCTCCACTCTGTTCTCTGCCCTGCAGGTCGAGTGCCATTAACGTAGTGAAGATTTTGCGAGTTCTCAGAGTCCTCAGACCCCTGAGGGCCATCAACAGAGCCAAGGGCCTCAAAGTGAGTCCAAACACACCCTTTTGCTCTTTTGCAGTGACCGCTGATTGCAGGGCTGCTCAAACAGCCTTGCCCGAATTAAAATGTGTGACTCATTTATCCTCAGCAACTCTGAGCGTTTGTGTTTCTGTGAATCTGCAGCATGTAGTCCAGTGTGTGTTCGTGGCCATCCGCACTATCGGGAACATCGTCATCGTCACCACGCTGCTGCAGTTCATGTTTGCTTGTATTGGAGTGCAGCTCTTTAAGGTGGGAACACACTGCAAACAGCTTAAATGTGTTTTAAATTTCACTGCTTTAGAAGTAGAAGGGGTGGAAGAAAAAAATCGACAGTATCGCAATATTTAGGGTAAAATAATGATGTAGATAGTATAGATCAGGGGTTGGCAACACAAATGTTAAGATAAGCCATGTCTATTGTTATATCTTGGCTGTAAATATGTCTCAGTATGTGCTGATGTACAAGTACAGACCAGTAGTCTGTGCTGATCTTCAGGGTTAAAGGGTGAATCAGCAGTTCTACATTAACTCCAGCATTTAAGATCATTTATTGTTAAACTGTGTTGAATGATCAGCAGAGCTTTATTTTACTGTAAAGGAGGATTATTTTATTTTTACCTTATTTTTAACAGGGCAGTAAAAGAGCCGCATGCAGCTTCGGAGCCACATGTTGCCGACCCCTGGTATAGACAATAAAAGCCCATGTTTTGATATTGTATTAAAAGCCATTGGGAGATTAAAAGGATTCAAAGCCGTGGATCATCAGTTTCTTTGTTTTTAAGCCCTATTTGGACTGGCTTGGTTTTACATGAGGAGCTGGGTAATGTAATTTTTCCGCATCAATAAAGATTCAGGCGCTTTTTACATTCTGTAAAAACAAGCTGCAGAAATAATCTCAGGTTAGATTAATCCCATGTAAATTGATATGTTGGTGAAAATGGTATCATATCCTGTGGAAAAAGTGTTTCTTAAGTATGGAGGCTTGAAGAAGCGTGTAAGTTTCTCTGTGGCTAAAATCAAGCCAGTAGGTAACATTACTGTAATATACAACTCAGAACATGTAAAAATGGAAGAATAATATTTTTATTTTACACAGTGAACTTGAGTGTTTGCTGTGAATTATGCCAGCATGGTAGATGGTTAGGGTAAACAAAATAATGGCTATAATGTTTTCACGTCATCTACTCTTTTCTGGAGTAAAGATGGTGTAAATTTAGAAGCCCCTCCCATTTCTGTTGTTTATACTGAGATTTCTGGGCAAATCGGTCATAAACAGTACAGACGTCCAGTGGTAAACTGGCATTACCCACCTCCCCATACAAAACTAACCCTGTCCTAATGGGGCTTTAGTCTACAGGACTGACTTTATGTGGTGAAACCAGCATTTCATCAGCATTTCATCCTGCAGAAATCAGGAACTCCACTATAATAAACAAATAGGAGCACCTGCTCAATACAACGATCATTCTACTGAGTCTTTTTGCTTTGAGTGACTCAATACCTTATTTATGCTTATTTTATTAAAATGAAGGAACATTATATTTTGTCACTATCAAAACAATCATATCATTACCCAAACTTTTCCAAATGTGTCAGTAGTGACTGTTTCGGTGAGAATTTGAGCTCATTTTGAGCTCAGAAACTCAGCCAGTTCATGACCAGCAAACACAGCTTTGAACAGCTGTTCACACAGAAAATCATCATATTTTTCATTAAAACACTAAAAAGTGCTGAACTGCAGAAAATATGACGATTCTTAATGTTCCACACTGATTTTCAGACTTTGGGACACATTTACTTCAAAACAATGTGATCTAACTGCTCACCATGTGGCCATGAGGGACAGGGATGCAGCCTCACTACCTGCTCTAAAATGCAGGGGCGTGGCTAAAATAAGGCCCCGCCCACAGACTAAAACTTAGTAGTGACAAGAAAGTTTCTTATTTAAAAATTAAAACTCACGATAAACCTAAATCTTTAAACTTCACTTCGAAAGAAAACAATTTTTTAGTTTTTTGAAATCAACATTGAAAAAAAATGCAAAAAAAATGTAAATATCATTTTTACAAGTGTAAATTTTGGTGGACAGTTTGGGACAGACACCTTCCAATAGAAAGTGACCACTAAATAATGACGCTGTATATATTTAGCTTTTTACTATGACATATATTTAAAAATCATGGTAACACTTCATTTGAATGCTACCTACATGAGGACTTCATTACATATGAATAAGCATTGAATAATGTATTCATAAAGCAATACTTGGGTATTGGTGAACAGCTTATTAACCACAAGATAACATACAATGTTTTATGAAGTAAATATATAAGTACCTCAAACTGAAGCGACGCACAGTTTCATTTATAACACTGTTATAACTATGTCCTTCTCAAATGATGGAGCTTATTCCAAACTATGGAGAGGCCTAGATAAAAACACTATCAGTTGTACATATAAGTGTAAAAGTCCAGTTTTAATGTGCTACAAAAAGAAATAAATGTCTATCACCCTTATGTTAACAACTTAAAATGACATAAGCTGTTCATTAATACTTAACTACTTTACTAAGTACATAATTCAATACTTATTCATGTGTTATAAGGTCTTTATGCAGGCAGCCTTCAGATAAAGTGCTACCAAAATCACAGTAGAGCTGCATAACGGTTCAAGTATTGCGATAATGTCTCCGGTGATTCCTAAACCAAATTATTAGAAATGGAAAACAGATTTCGTGAAAACTTTCAGTCTTTATTCATACCCCTGATAGTCTGACTGTACTGTGGTGCGTTTCAGGGCAAGTTCTACTACTGCACAGACTCTTCCAAACAGACGCAGGCAGAATGCAGGTAAGAATCTGGTGTTTGCTTGGAGGTAAACACAACATGACAACCATAATAGGCATTCACGAATCATTCAAAGAAAAAATGCCGATGATGTACAGTGTCGTTCCTCCCTTTTTGTGTGTGTTTACAGGGGGACTTATATTCTGTATAAGGATGGAAATGTTGGGAAGCCGGAGAGAGCTCAGCGCACGTGGGAGAACAGTGACTTCAACTTTGACGATGTTCTGCAAGGAATGATGGCCTTGTTTGCTGTGTCCACTTTTGAGGGATGGCCAGGGTACGTCTGGCCCATGCTGTTATTACTTTGTCCAGTACGCAGAGGAACTGAGGTTAAAAGAGAAAGAAAAAAAAAACATAAATTAAATAGAGGAACTCAAAATCAGTAGAAATCCTACTTAAAGGAGAAAGGTCTCACTGCAGAGCCGTAGATTTACATCCCACAGATTCACTCCAGCGGTTTCAGGCCAGTGGAGCCATGCTCAGTGGGACAGGGCGATTGTGTCACGTAAACAAAGTCATTATAGGATGTCTGAGACACTATATTATGATAGTTTTGAGAAGATTTTGGTCAAAATGTTGAGCGTTACAAGCGTCACATTCGTATTTCAACCAGTGGCTGGTCTCCTTATTTAATAATAATAATAATAATAATAATAATAATGATAATAATAATAATAATAATGATACTTTTTATTTATATAGCACATTTCATGCTGGTGGCAGATCAAAGTGCTTTACAGACAGGTGATAAAACATAGTTATACAAGAAATCATAAGTATTTATATTTATTTAGAATCAGAAGGAAATGAAACAGATCAGATTAAAGAGAGTTAAAGAGATACATTTTTAGATGCTTCTTAAAAGTGAGCTCTGAGCTTGACTGTCTAATAAAAGATGGAATTCAGTTCCACAGTTTAGAAGCATAATAACTGAAAGAGTCTCTCCATGTTTTCTGTATTTTACAGAGGGTGTTTGTAGAAGGCCACTATCTGCAGATCTTAGATTACGTGCCGGAACATAAACAGACAGACGCTCTGTGATGTAAGCAGAGCTTTTAGGTCATTTTGAGCTCTAAAAACTAGTAGCAGAGCTTTAAACTCTATCCTGAATGATACAGACAGCCAGTGCAGCTCTTTTAAAACAGGACTGATCTGATCTCTCTGTTTTGTTTTTGTTAGGATGCTGCTGCATTATGTACGAGTTGTAAGAGATGCATAGACAGTATTTATAACCTCTCTGATGTAAACAGCGACTGTTTGTGCTGGTTGTATGTGTCGCCATGTATATCACCATTCAGGAAGGGATACCATTGCTAATATACTAATCAACCATTGGTAACTGGTAATTGGTTAAACTATAAGACAAAACACATTACAAAACCATCAGATACTAAAAGAAACACTTAATGGTTTCTATGGATTTTTTCAGCAGGGATACATTCAAAAACTAAAGTCTAAATATTAATATTACACTCAGTTTAAACCTGCTTAAGGTAAAGTTTTATTCCTGCACATGTAATGTAAGTCTACACATAAAGCCCCTGTATGTAAGTTAATTGAGCTATGTGTCTATATCACCCGTTAGTTTACCCAGAGCCACATCAGCTGTAGTTCGTGTAATATTTACTCTGTGAATCTCTATATGCGTTCAAACCATAGTTTGTTTTAGCCTAAAGCTTAAAATATAATGTTAGCTCAACGCAGATTCCTCACAAATTTATTGGAAACCCACATAAAATGTATGAAGCGTTTTTTTAAGAAAAACCAAAACAAGTGTTGGTACATGAGCTGAATGCCACTGGCTTGAAGCTGCTGGAGCGAGACTGTGGCTCTGCGGCTCTGCAGACAGATATTATTAGGATAAAAGGCCTTTATCATGGAAAACTGAATCTTCCCACTTTTTTCTAAATTAAAAGCGTTTATTGTAGTATGGTGAAGTTGCATAAGATGCCAGTCCATACGGGCCATATATGGAAACTAAGCTGCAAAAACAGCCTGTTTTGAAATCACTGTTTCTGTGATGTCACAAAAAACAACTTATTTACAGATATTCACTCATTCAGGCTACGTTCACATTACCAGGTTGAAGTGGCACAAATCTGATTTTTTGCCCTAATGTGACTCAGATCTGATGTTTTCAGAGCTGTGTGGACACGCAAATCCGATCTTTTCGAATCCGAACTGAGCCACTTTCATATGTGGTCCTAGATCGGATACGTATCCGATTCGTGGCCATGTGACCTTATTGTGACGCTCAGATCGGAATTCATGTGCTTTTTTTCCACGGCACGTGTGCCGTCATTCAGCATTACCATGGCAACAGCGCCGAGCAGAAGTTAAAGCCTGTAAACGGTGGAAAAGCAGCTCATCTCACCTTTTTCTCCATCATCTCGCTCTAATAATGAAGCTGAGAGCTGATCAGAGTTAATTATCTTCTCAGCGAAGCTCGTTCTGCTCGTTAGTTTGTGCTGATGATGAACGTGATTCGTTCACGTGACGTTACTGAGTAGGATGTGATCATGAGGGTCATTTCAGGACGCCGGTTCGTCACATTAATGACAGATTTGAATCACTTACCTAAACGAGTGTGAACCATCCTGTCAGAGAGATCAGATTTGAGCAAAAAATCAGATTTGAGAAATGAGGTTTGCAATGTGAACGTAGCATCAGACCACCTTTCGTGGTGAAACCAGTTTAGTGCATTCACACTGAAGTTATAAGGAGTGTTTCCACACAGGCTGCTTTTTGAATTAGGCACATCCAATCAGAACCATTACAAGTACAAACAACTTATTGGGCCTCAGGGAGAAAAAAAAATAAAAAAGTGGGTACTTGAAGGTATTTTGGCTAGATTTAAGCAACATTGTTCTCTACGCTGAAAAAAATGATCTCTTAGTAAGTGAAAACATCTTAAATGTAGTTAACATATCTAATATTTCTCATTATGAGACTGTCGTAAGAACATTGTAAAGATTATTTAACTTATTTCTAGATATTTTTACTTGTTTTAAGTAATTTTATCTTATGAAATGTCTTATCTCATTGGCAGATCATTTTGCTTGTTTCAAAAATTATTTCTTGAAAATTATCTTTATTATTTGCCTTTATTATTATCTGCCAATGGAATAAGACACTTTCACTAGATATAATTACTTAAAACAAGTAAAACATGTCTAGAAATAAGTGAAAAAAATCTTACAACAGTCTCACAATGAAAACTATTAGATATATTAACTACACTTGAGATAATTTTACTTGCTAAAATATCAGTTTTTGCAGTGTTATGTCCACCAAAAAGGTCAGAACAGTAAAAACTAGCATATTACTCCTGTTTAAAGGCTTTAATTCTGAGCGTGATTTGAGAGAAACGTTCTCTGTCACATTAACACTCCCTCTCTGCCCTGCAGGCTGCTGTACAGAGCCATTGACTCCCACGCTGAAGATGTTGGCCCCATCTACAACTACCGTGTAGTCATCTCCATCTTCTTCATCATCTACATCATCATCATCGCCTTCTTCATGATGAACATCTTCGTAGGTTTCGTCATCGTCACCTTCCAGGAGCAAGGAGAGCAGGAGTACAAGAACTGCGAGCTGGACAAGAACCAGGTAGAGGCGGCCTGTGGTTTACAGTCAGCGGGCCTGATTCTGTCCCTACCCAGAATCCTGATGTTGAAGGGGGAATTCCACTGATTTTTCAAAATTTCTTCACAGTTCAATCATTAAGATGTGAACAGAGTGAGTCAGAGTGGTTTGGTGTGAAATGGTTCAGATGTCTTTACAGTGGTGGTGATAGGAACCAGGGGTCGCTATGACTACAACACAGATATAGACATTTTATTTACTATCAAAACCACCAGTGAACCTACACGAGTCTTCTGAGCTCTGTGTGAAATGTTGGTGATGGTAAAATAGCGGAAAAGCTGATTTTTTTTTGGGAACTATTTTGCCTCACAGCGCCCTGCGTGAACCCTTCCACCGTGAGTGTATTTAAAAAATATGTTTTAAGGCAAAACCTTATCAAAACTTAAAACAATATCTCCAGCATCATTAAACTTTACAGACTTCTGGTTCCTATGACAACCACTGTGAACAATTCTGACATTTCTAGAACAGAATGTTTCTCATCAGACCACTCTGAATGACTTTGCTGCCACTTTATTTACTATCCAAAGCCACCAGTGAACCTACACGAGTCTTCTGAGTTTATATGGAATGTTGATGATGGGAAAATAGTGTTAAATCTGAAAAAATAATCTTTTGGGACTATTTTGCTTTAGAATGTCCTGCATGTGTCCCTCCACTAGATTGAATAAATTGATGAATTCATAACCATTTCATGTAGTAACTTTCTGTGAGGGAGCTTTTAGAGGTGGACGTCTGGTTCCTGTCACCACCACTGTGAACAATTCTGACTCAGCACGTTTCTCTAGAACAGAGCGTTTCACACCGAACCACTCTGAATGACTTTGTTTATGTATTGATGCAATAAATGTGCAGAAATGTTGAAAAATCGGTGGACGTCCCCTTTTAACCATAGAGTTTCTGGATGCAGAACACTTTGCTTGTCTAGCCACTGGTCCATATTTTATTAATGCAAAACTGATTGTATGTGTTTACTTGTCTGTCTGTCTGTCCGTCTCTGTGGACGTGGTACAGCGGCAGTGTGTCGAGTACGCTCTGAAGGCGCGGCCGCTGCGCAGGTACATTCCTAAAAACCCGTATCAGTATAAGGTTTGGTACGTGGTCAACTCCACCTACTTTGAATACCTGATGTTCACGCTAATCCTACTCAACACCATCTGCTTGGCAATGCAGGTCAGTGTCTGTGATTCTGTGTTTGAATGATTGAATGATTATTTGGTAGCTGGATTAATTAGAAATGAATTAACCCTTTACTGCAGTGACAACAGTGACTTTTGCGTTTGTTTTTGCCTGAGTACAATATAAAAGTCCTTTTCCTCCACTCTAAACTGAAATTGTAGATAGTATGTGTGACAAAAATACCAATCTATGGGAGGTCAGAAATAAAACAAAAAAAGATTTTATGAGTTTTATATAAAAACGATAAAATATAATTGTTGCCATAAGGCAACAGCATGTAACAATAAAGCTACAACCTAAATATGAATATGCTTCCTTTGGACACACTGATTTTTTTCATCAGTATAATTATTTTCTTATTCCTTTCTGTTTTCTTAAAAGATTGATACAGACTGTCATGCACAAGTTTTTCTTTTTTGGATTTTTTATTTCATTTTCCATCAGAAAAAATCATAAAGACATATTTTTTTCCTGTGTATTTCATAATTCATGCAGTAAAGGATTAATTAACAGACAGATTGGTGAGGATGGAGGAATACTCTGGAATTTTTTACATTTCACAAAGCTGATTTATGATTACAAACAGGTTGTTTTATGTCTTGTGATAAGCAGCATGTTTGTGAGAATGCTTCTTTCCGAGTTTGAGAGGAAAAGAGTGTTTGTGTTTTGTCTTTCTGCAGCACCACGGTCAGTCTGCGTCCTTCAACATCGCCATGAACATCCTCAACATGCTTTTCACCGGTCTTTTCACTGTGGAGATGATCCTCAAACTCATTGCCTTCAAGCCCAGGGTACGATCTGCTCCCTTCTTCTCCAGCTCTGTTACAGGACCGAGCGTTCTTTACATATAAACACTATTAAGACGTCCAGAATGATCTGTAGAGAGTGATTTGAGCGTGGCAAGTGATCACCAGTGATGATCAACTTTAAAAGTTCCGTTTTGAAAGGTGTTGTTTTTCAAACACTGTCTAATTTTACTCTTAATGGTTATTTCCTCATTGGTCACTCTGGACTAGCCTCCTGCGCTCTCTCTCTCTCCCCTGAGTATAAATGAGTGAACGCAGCTCACTAGAATCTTCCCTTTGAGTGAACCATACCGTCTTTAGAGGACTTTCTCTGGAGTTTCAGCTGCTGATTAACTGACAGAAACCAGACTGAGACAGAATTTTTATTTTCCATTACATTAATAGACTGCATAATTTGGACTAGTCCCTCCTCCCTCGGTTACTGTTGCTATGTCCATCACACTCTGAGTTCAGGCTGCCTGGTAGAATCCGTAACACTTGTGCTAACAGACTTAAGGAACTCTAAAAACGTATTATTATTATTATTATTATTATTATTATTATTATCATCATTGTTGTTATTATTATTATTAGTATCATCATTATTATTATTATTATTATTGTTATTGTTATTAGTATCATTATAATAATAATAATTATTATTATTATTATTATTTTTATTTTTATTTTTATTATTATTATTATTATGGCTTTATATGGTGTTCTCATTAGTCATGCTTAAAAACTGACAAAATATGAATGTTGGACAGTTTAAATAAAAATGGATTCTGTAAACCATGTTTACATTAATCAAAGCAGGCAAATGGTTGAGTCACTCAGTGAAGGAGTTTTAGGGCAAACAATCAGAATATGGCTCATTTACATACATCAGCCTTAAAGACACAGTAACATCAACAGTCTTTTACAATCTGAGGGTTAAAGTGAGGTTGAAAAATGAATTAGGGTACAAATAAAAAGCAAGAAAAATACAGGATATAAGCCCTTTAATACTGTTCTGTAACCTGTAATGTTATTTATTGTTAGACTTTATATTAAAATTACTTTTAGCCAATACAGTAACTTAGATGAAGTTAACTTTACCTTAGAGCTGATGTGAGTCAGTGTCTGTGTCTGAACTGACAGAAGAGCTACTCTGACACGAGTCACAGAAATTATATCAGATGCAGTCAGAGTGCCCATGCTGACCCCTGCTCAGTGTCGAAAGAGACTCCAGTGGGCATGCGAGTGTAAGAACTGCACCGTGGAGTTATGGAAGAAGCTCACCTGGATGAGTCCTGTTTTCTTTTACATGACTTGGATGGACGGGTATGTGGCGTTTACCTGGGGACGTGATGGACAAAGATGCACTGCAGGAAGAAGACAGGTTGAGAAGGTGTGATGCTCTGGGAGATGTTCTGGTCTGAGCATTCATGTGGACGTCAATTTGACACGTGCCACCTACCTAACCATTATTACGGACCAGGCGCACCCCTTCATGGCGATGGTATTCCCCTTTGGCAGTGGCCTCTTTCAACAGGATCATGACCTGCCACTCTGTATGCATTATTTGGGAATGTTTTGGGGAACGTGATCCAAGGTCCAAATTCAGTGCAGGGAAATACTTATTGGGCTTCCATCGCTATGTGCTCTCCAATCGAATTAGCTGCACAGTTGAGCCGATTTAAGCCGTTCTGTCATCACAGCCTTTATTGATGTGTTTATCACCAAAACTCATCTCAAGATAACAATAAAAATACAGTTTATCATGCAGCCCTGTTTACCAATTTAGACCCAAATTCAGTACAAATATCACCAGCACCTGGACTGTTTCCAAACGTGCACTTCATGTGTTAACCCTCCTGTTATGGTCAACTGTAAGGAACAGCAATAATGTTCCTGGGTCAAAGTGATATATATTTTTTTTTCCATAAACATTTTTAGCTCAATTAATATCAATTTGATCAATATATAGTGTAGTCAAGTTTTTCACCTATTACAGATCATGGTTTACTTACAATAATTCACTTGTTTTGAATAAAAAAAAAATCACTGTATATTCCTATGTACACTTAGAAAAATCTGCATACATATATATATATATATATATATATATATATATATATATATATATGTATATAATTCACAGTTTTTTTGTACATTGGCATAAGATTAGACATTCAATACATTTATTCATTATTATTTAGACTTTTCAACATTTTGGACATTTTCTGTCATGGGGGTGTGTTGATTAATAAAAACAAAACATCTCTTCTGTTCCGTCTCTTTAAATTCGAATCACACTAAATGCACCGTAAGTCCAGCAGAAACAGTTTCATGCTCCACAAATGATTAGAAATATTTTTCTTGTATTTTTAAACTTTGAAACGGGTCAGTTTGACCCACAGTACAACAGGAGGGTTAATTCAGCACTGGTGACTTTACAGAAGTTTGAATGATTCAGTCCCAGACTGGAATACATACATCTGTCTCAGTCTGTTTCCAGACAAACTGAACTGGGCCAAGATTTAGGCCAGAGTTTGACCTGATAGCCTGAAACTCCAGAGTCATAGCTCCAGGAATATTTTTACACTCTCTCAGATTGGCCTCACAGCAAGTAATCATACTTTCAACTTTCAGAAAATGGTTTTCTACAGTGTAAAATTGTGCAGTGTTTGCTGTAGGCAGGCTGTGTTTACTCTGTGCATGAACTTGTCACAACTACACAACAGTGTTCTGCTTAATAACTGATATTTCAGGTATCTTCTGGACGCCAAGGTGATTTATCGTCCACTACTGTTTACTTCTGCTTAGATTTTCCTTTACAGAGACTTCAGAGACAGTTATGTACATGGCCTAATGTTTAAAATGGCTTGATAACAACTGAATCTGTCCTTTTACAGTAGTAAGGGGTTTTTACAGTAGTAAAGACCAGGCTGTACTTCTAGCTGAAGTAGAAATCTCTCTCTCGCTCTCTCTTTCACAGAGCTGTGTAGCTCCCTCTGCCCTAAATTACTTAGTACTTTTACTTTTTATGGCATGTTTAACAGCTATTATGCCTTGTTACCCTGACTCATCAGGTTCAACACACTGCTATATTTAACACTATTTAACTCGGCAATATGTTGCAGTGAAAAGCTTAAATACTAAAATCCTTACAGTAGACAGCACTACTGTTGTCTTTTTGGGACATTACGCTGGAACTGAAGAATAACGGTGATATCACTTAGACCACATGTCTGAGATGACGAGTGGATGTGAGAGTGTAGGGAATAAGGTTCTTTGTGTTTTTCGTCAGCTATAAAATAGATGAGAGCGGAGCACAACCTAACATATTTTTTGCTAAATTAAGTTTTAAAATAGTTTTGCAAGTTTGGCAGTTTCATACGTTGTGGTCATTCAATGTGCTTTACAAGTTAGAAAATACAGGGATAATTCAAATGAACATTTTAAAAGATGTACAGTCAAAAAGTAGTGTGTTAAATAACAACACATTACTTGTATTACCCGTTTTAACACTTTTTGTGTCATATTGTTTTCAAACATAAAATATATGATGGTGTTTTATGGTAATAAAAAAATAATAAAAATAGTAGTATATTTCGTATGTATTTCGTATATGTTCGTATAATATTTCGAGAAAAAAGTCGTAAAATTTTGAGAAAAAAGTCGTAAAATTTTGAGAAAAAAGTCGTAAAATTTCAAGAAAAAAGTTGTACTATTTCAAGAGAAAAGTCGTAAAATTTAGAGAAAAAAGTCATAACATTTAGAGAAAAAAGTCGTACCATTTCAAGAAAAAAAGTCATACAGTATGATATTTCGAGAATTAAGACGTATTTTGAGAATAAAGTCGTAATATTTTGAGAATAAAGTAATATTTTGAGAAAAAAGTACTATTTTGAGAAAAAAAGGCATAATATTTTGAGAAAAAATGTTGTAACATTTTGAGAAAATATTTATTTATAACTTTATCCTTGAAATATTACGACTTTATTCTCTAAATATTACAACTTTATTCTCAAAGTCTACTATTTTTATTTTTATTAACAGTGGCCCTAAAATGCTGTCGTACAAAATGTGTTCTCTGTAAGTGGGCACAAAAATATTTCAACACATTTTGTGTCAAAACTAACTCAAAATATGTGAATCCAACCAAACACAATAATGTGTCTAGTTAGAGACAGAATGTGTTGTTTTTTAACATGTTTTTTTTAACACATTTCTGGAAAAATGTATATGATGTGGTTAAACACATTCTGGATTATTCAGTTCCCAAAGAATGCAAAGTTCTGTACCTTGGAGATATAAATGATCATGTTATGGATAATAACAAATATTTAAGGAGACTTTTGGTAGCCAGCAAAAAAGCAATAACACGAAATAGGTATAAGATCCCTCTGTAGAACAGTGGGCAGAATTCATAGAAAATGATTTACCAGCTTTGAGTGAGAGAAAACGTGTTTGTTAACAGGTGGTGAAAACGGACGACATATGACACGAGTGAAAAAAAAAACATAGGGATAAATTGAGGTAAATGCAAGGATATTACACCTTCAAACACACTAATTTGTTGTGTTTTGTAACCACAGGCAACCCTTTTCTTCCTTGCCCCTGTTGATGTTTTTCTGATTATGACGTTCCTATATTATATATACCCATGCATACTTAAACACTTAAAAAAACCTTAAAAAACACTCAAAAAGAACTAAAAAACATTTTTAAAACATGATAATAGATTTAAAAGAGAAGAAATAAACATTTAAATTAAAAACAAATTAAAACTTTATTTTCAGTGTGCATATATATATATATATATATATATATATATATATATATACATATATAAATGCAAAAATATATTTAAAAAATACATCAAAATGAATCTAAATACGTCTGTATAATTGCTTATAAGTAGTTATAATTACATGCGTAACACTTTATAAAGCAAGAACATATGGTTATATTGTTATAATAGAAAGTAAACATGAATGTTGTTATGCACTGTAACAAAGTTTTTTGTGTAGCATCAACACATCATCAGCTTAGATAAAATACAGTAGCCCTTGAGCATTTTTTGTAATATTCATTAAAAAAGAAACTTTTATGCCATATAACACCTTATAAATGCATTTATAATGAATTATGGGTACAGTTCATTTTTAGCTAACTGGTAACTGAACAGATATAATAGTGTGTTATGGAAGCTGACTTTATTAAGTCATATGCTCTTGCTTTATAAAGTGTTATGCATGCAGTCATAACTGCTTACCATCGATTTTCCACTGGTTTTAGATATAAACAATTTGTTCAGAGTGGTTTGTGTGAAATCGTTCATTTGCTGATAAACTTACAGACTCATTTGCTGACAAACTTGTGACAGATGTCTTTACAGTGGTGGTGATAGGAACCAGGGGTCGCCATGACTACAACACAAATATAGACATTTTATTTACTATCCAGAACCACCAGTGAACCTACACGAGTCTTCTGAGTTTATATGGAATGTTGATGATGGAAAATAGTGGAAAATCTATTAAAATTAAGTTTTCTTTGGGGACGATTTTGCATTAGAACGCCCTTCATGTATCCCTCCACCATGAGTGGATGAATATAAACTAAAATAAATACGTTTTAGACCAAAACTTTATCAAAACTATCGTAAAGCGATGTATCAGGCAGTGAATTCATAACCACTTCATGTAGGAACTTTCTGTGAGGGAGCTTTTAGAGCTGGACGTCTGGTTCCTATCACCACCACTGTGAGCAATCCAAACCACTCTGAATGACTTTGTTTACATCTTAACCATTTAATTATGCAGACACTTAAAAAATCGGTTTAAGAGCAATTCTGTAAGCTTATGTGATTATAATGTATTATGTTTGTCGTACAATGCCTTATAAATGCATTTATAAAGCACTAATAACACAGGATTCATAGGAAGTTTTACAGAAAATTCAGTTTTCCATGATATACAGGCCCTTTAACTACATCCGACTGTGTTACCTGTTTACCTTTTACGCCGTGTCAGTTTGTGCTCCGCTCTCAGGCTGTGTGTGATGTGTACCTGTTCCTGTTTTTTGACTGAAAGGAAGTGCTCAGTCGCAGAGTGCTAGAGGAGAGTGGTAGGTATGCACTTTGCTGATGGCTAATTGGTTGATGCTGCCTGTCTAACTACCCCTTCGTCCTGTATAGGGTTACTTTAGTGACCCCTGGAATGTTTTTGACTTCCTCATCGTAATTGGCAGCATTATAGACGTCATTCTGAGTGAAATAAACGTAAGTACACCGCCATCACCTCTCTCTCTCTCTCTCCTTCTCTCTCTCTCTCTCTCTCTCTCTCTCTCTATCACGTTTGTCTCTCTCTCCATTCTCTTCCTCTCACTCCTCTCTGATTCCTCCCCTTTTCCCTCCGTCCATGTCCTGCTGCTGTTCTCCTCTTCGAGTTCCACCTCACCCGGAGGCAAGATGACCACTGTGATGTTTTGTTTGAGGTAGCCGGTAGCGGGTTTGCCGTGTCATCACGTTGTAGGGGACACAGAGAGAGATTTAGAGAGAGAGCGAGAGAGCCCGAGAGAGAGAAGGAGAGCGAGAGAGACTCACTGTGACTAACCAAATGCACCTAAACTAACCAAACAGACCCCTGTGTTCTCTTCAGCGCAGTTCCGACAGCCTGTCTGACTGTTGATGTTCTTTTTTTCTCATCAGAAAGCATGAGCGCCCGCAGGTCCTCTCCTCCGCCATGTCTCGGATACTATTCTTTCTTTCGTTCACTCCACGTCCCTTGGTTCTTATGATTTGCCCCCATGTGTTCAGAGAAGTCGATGTTCATATGTAACTGTTTTCTTTCTTATTTTTTTCTCCTCTCTCTTGTTTTTGTTTCCTTCTTCTTTCATTTCTTTTCATCCCCCCCCTTCCTCCCCCTCCTCCTCCTCCCAACCCAATGCAGCATTATTTTGTCGATGCATGGAATACATTTGACGCTCTCATAGTAGTGGGTAGCGTTGTTGACATAGCTATCACAGAGGTTAACGTAAGTAGTCTGTCTTTCAGCCTGCCTGCCTGCACACAACACCTCTCTCTCTCTCTCTTTCCCCCCCCAAGAACAATAGAGATTAAGCTCCCTGTTTCTTTTTTTTTTCTTTGTTTTCCTCTTCTTTTTTTAAACCGTTCACTGTTTAAGTTCCACTTGCACACATGAGCATGCAACGCGCTGTATAGCAGGAGCTGTGGGAGATATATTCTGACATTTCTGAATAAATATGCAGTGCAAATGTATCTATAAACCATAACATACAGTCATATAAAATGAAAAATGAAATATAAAATGTGCCATAACTTTTGCACAGGCCACACTTTATGCTTTATATTTTCCCCCAATATGTTAAATTCAGTAAATAAACAGTAATTGTGTATAAAATGTGCAGTGTGTCTCTGTAGAGGACGTGGTCACTTATTTACACATAGAAAATCAACAGTAATGTGTCGTTTGACCAGGGGTGCACAAACTTTGGCATACAGCTGTATTTCTTCAGAAAATAAGCACAACGTACCAACACTTTCTGTTTCTGCCCCCATTAAACCTCTGTGAGGCATGAATTGATCGATAATTAAACTTAAGACGAACACTTCAAGCAAAACCTGAAGCAAATGATGTCAGACAAAAGCAAACCATAAGAGCTGCTTATACCAAAGAATAGCAACCACCTGGGAAAGGGGAGTAACGAACTACACAGGTGGAAACACTGATGATGAGGCAGAGCTTCTAAATGCATCATTAGTTCATTAATAGTTAATTAATTATAAATGAACAGCTAATAGATGTCTTATAAACTACTACTGTTTAATTAACTATTGCTATGAATTATTAAATTAGTTTATTTTCGCCATAGCAATCACAGCATATGTTTGCGTCTATGCAGACTGGAACTGAGCTTTTTTGGCACTGACAGTAGGACAGTAGAACAGTTATGAACACCATTTATGATGCATTATGTCAACAATACATAATACATAAACATGGCTGTAAAGTGTAATGCATTTTTATAAATATATATAGCCAAGTTTATAACGCCTTATGACGTGTTATGAATGTGTTTATAGTTGTTACAGAATGGTATTCATAGGAAGAGTTTTTGAGGGAACTGAAACTTCTCGTAATGTTATGGGAATTTTGAAAATCGTACAGTTGCATGCAAAAGTTTTTGCACCCCTGGTCGAGTTACAATAACAGTTTTATTGATTTTCTAAGTGTAGCTAAGTGAACGCGTCTTCTACAGAGAACACACTTCTGCACATTTTAATGCACAGTTGCTGTATGTTTGCTGAATTTGACATGTTGGGGGAAAAAATAAAGCATAAAATGTGGCTTGTGCAAAAGTTATGGCACCCTTTATATTTTATGTGTTATATTTTTCCAATACAAATAACGAACTGTGCAGGAGAACGCCATATGTAAGTTTGTTCCATGCAGAGGATGTGTTAACTTATTTTCACCAAGAAAGCATGTGAAAGAGACTAAAACTGAAGAATGCAATGAGTAGATACACATACACATACTGCATACACTGTAATGGATGTACTCCATGTGACTCAAAACTCTATTGACATTAATATGTTTCCTATTTGTGATTACACTTGGATTCACATTGAGACAGACAGACAGACGAGTGGTAGTGATAATTAACGCTTGGACTGTCAGAGATATATCCCCTATTCTGCTATACAGAGGCCCTCTTGGCACTGACCTAACTTTGGTTTGAGGTTTCTCCCTTCTTATCTCCATTTTTGTTTTCATTTCACTTTAATCAGAAGGCATGGCCTTGATCTCAGCATTGTGTTTGGACTGCCATTTTGTTTTCTTTTTCGAGAAAAAAAAAATACCCTTTGCACTTTTCCATGGAGCTCGATTAACCAGTTCCAGTAATTATCGGTGAAGTACAATACTCTAGAAGACCCGTACTCGACGATCAAATCAGCTCAAGCATTCGGCTCTCCTTCAGTAAGAGCATTAGATTGTTCCTCTCTGAAATCTGAAGCTGCCCCCACCTTAAGCCATTAGTCTGCAGTGCCTCCTTAAAGGCCTGTTGTTTGTGTCTGGATTGACTTAGACTCGGAAGGTGAGAAGGTCATGTTTGCCAGCTCTTGTCTTGTTGGCGATGCCACACTGCATCCTCCCCTCTGAATGCCTTTACTCCTGTCTGTCAGTTCTGCACCTTTACTCTCTTATCTGTGTCTTCTGCTCTGTCTCTCCTCTATTCCTTATCTAGTGCTCTCGTTGACTTGACTTTCACGCCGGACAGCCCTGCTCTCTGACCGAACTGCTGCTAATTGCGGAGAAATTGAGTGGTAGTCCGTAAACCAGCTACAAATCCATGGACAAAAAGCTCTTTTCTTCACCCGTGGTGGAAAATAACTGACGCTTAGCTGAAAAAGGGTGGAGATCTCTTCTGCCTGAGCGTCAGGGAGCAGGGTTAGCCGGTCTCTGATACTATGCAACATGAGAGAACTTCGTCAAATGCTCTAAAATGAAAATGCCTGCGAGTAGATCGTGCTTCTCTGGCATTCTCGCAATTGCATATTTGGAGTTTCCGTGACCGACCAAGCAGTGTTGTGCGTGTGCATGGACAGGGTTGCCAGATCCTTTGCAGTTATCCGCAAAAACGCCATGTAATCATCCTCATATTTACTGTGGGAAAGTTCCAAACGATGCGATCATTAAATGATGCGAATGAGACCATGCTGTGTGCTGCGGATCTGCAGAGGATTTGAGTAAAGAGGACAATGTATCTTTCTGCCCATACCATGTAGACACCGGACATGCACCCATTACCCCACCACAGATGGACACGCCCGCACACACGTGTACTGAACAGTCTCCCATTCTTACCACTCCACACACAGTGCAGCACTCTGTAGAGTTCACACTGATCTTCACACTGATCTGTGTAATCAAAACACAGATGATGACCGGTGCAGTATTATGTTTGTGCTGTATGTCCAAAAGTTTGTAGACACCTGCTGATGTAGAGCTTCTTCTGAAATGAAGGGTGAATTTATTCTGGGATGGCTTTACACAAGATGTTCAATGCAAAAAAATGATATCTTAACAAGTGAAAACATCTTAAATGTAGTCAATATATCTTATATCTCTCATTATGAGACTGTTGTAAGAATACTGTAAGATTATCACACCTGCTTCTATACATTTTTACTTGTTTTAAGTAATTTTATCCAGTGAAAGTGTCTTATTGCACTGGCAGATCAGTACAATTATCTGTCAATGGAACAAGACACCTTCTTAAGACAAAATTAAAGCAAGTGAAAATGTCTAGAAATAGGAGAAATAACCTTATGTATATAATATTACATATAATATTCTTACAATGGTCTCATAATGAGAAATATTAGATACATTAACTACATTTAAGATTGCTGTAAGGATTTGCTTGAACTTCCAAGAGTGTTAGTGAGGTGAGGTTGGATGTTGGATGTTGGATGGATCACACACACCACTCCAAACTAGACCTTTGCTACCAGACCTGAGCCTGACAGGGCCCAGTATAACATAAGGTTCTGGGCCAGGTTTGGGCCGGTTCTCCCAGGCAACATTAGGCTCGGGCTTGTTTTTTATTATATTTATATAGTATTATATTTATAGTAGAGTACTAGTACATACTCTCTCACTGACTCTCTCATAATGTTAAGGTGTGGGTGGACGTGCCCCTGAATTAAACCGTGGATGATGAGAGGGATGTTTTGGGTCAGTGAAAGTTCAGAGCTACTTTTTATAATCATTTTCATATCTAAATTACCATCTTACCAAGTTTTAATATGGGGAATTTAACCTGTGAACTGCCTGTGGATGAGTTAGACCAATCAAATGCAACCAAAGACACAACTGAGCAGGAGTGTTGAAGACTCAAGCCAGAAAAAGTGGATGTGTTGGTCTTCTTGGCTAAAAAAAGAGGCCAGGACTTTAATTGACAGAAAATAATTATAATATTATAATACAATATTGTAAATTATATTTACAATATTGATCAGAAAAAACACAATTACATATATTTTTCCTCCTGTTCGTTAAGCTTGCTTGAAACATTAAGTATTTCTACAGGAGTAGTGAAAGTATCAGCAACTATATGGATGCTGTTTATTGACGACGATCGGTATGACAAAAAAAAAACATGGATAATAAATACTGTTGTACAGATTTACAGAAATACTGTATTACAGATACAGCATGACAGTTTCTGTTGATCTACTCAAGTGTTCAGTAACAGAGCAAAGCTCTGTAAAGCTCTGTCTGGGACAATACATCACTGTTAATGTTAGTGCGTGCGAGTGGGTTCAGGTCAGGTTTGGGTTTCAAATTTAGCAGTATCAGTCTGGCCTGGTCGGTCAGGTCTGGGCTTCAAGTTGTGGGCCTTTAACTCCAGCTCACTCCAAAGGTGGATAGAGCTCCATCATTTCAGAGAACACTGTCCACTGCTCCACATTGTACATGGTGACTTTAGGCCAGGGCTGGAGAGCGCTGGAGCAGTCTGGTGATATTCTAGAGCATCCCATTCTATTTCTTATAGGAGCTGTTTGTGCACAGTTGAACGCCTTTGTCAGAGCAGGTGCACCTTAGCTGAATTCCCGTATTGGAAAGGGTGTCTGGAGACTTTTGAACATATAGTTGAAGACCTGGGCTTGGCCAGTAGATGGCAGCTCTCTTTCACAGGGACCATGCTCTGTGGCGCCCTCAGCTGGAGGACAGACAGATACGCTATGAGGCGTCTCCCCGTGCTGGTAGGGTTGGGCAGCATACTTTGAGAAAGCAGTGATGGCTGAAAACTGAATACACTGTCCTGGATGTATTCAGTAACACATTCCATTAAAATACATAAAAAGAGTAACTTATTCAGAATACATCTGGAATACGTCTTGAAAAGGCAGATGTGCTAAATCATCTAGTTTTCTTTATGTAGTGCTTCTGGTTGGTGAATTTGTTCATTATTTTTTGCATAGAATGGCCAAAAGACCTCCAGACGAGTTCATGCAGACTTGCAGAATTAACGATGGCAGCAGCCACATAGTTTACAGAGTTAAGCCTAAACTCAACAGTCACTTGCTAAAATTGCTTTTAATTGAAAGCCCCACATTTGACTTTTCCAGTGTCTCGTTTATAATAATGGGAAAAATAATGTATTTTCACAACCACAATCAGCCATGATTGGATTCTGGACGGTGAACTGTTTACCATTTCCTCTGCTCTTTGATTATTCATAATAGTGTAATCATGTAAAAACAGTTGAAATAGACATGAATGGTGTTCATCTTATAAAATTAGATGTATTTTTTTTAAATAGTAGGTTGGTGTTCTAAACAGGTGCTCTTAAAATAGTACACTACCATTGAAAGGTTTAAAACTGATATTTTTTATTTGGTACACAATAAAAGCTATAGATAATAGATAATATAGATCATATCGCTGCTGTCAGAAGAAGACCTCGTATCTCCATTTTTGTCATTTTTAAGTTTTTTATATAATTTGAAAATACCTGTTTCTCTTTACATTGTATGTAAATTTCATGAAGAATGGACCAAAAGAAAGAGCTCAAAATGACTTGGAAAAAAGTCTGGTTCCATTGACTTACATTAAAAGTAAAGTAGGTTTTTTCCTTCTCCTGCAAAGTTACCATTTTGGAGATACGAGGTTTTCTTCCGTCAACAGCGATATATTATTAAATAGACGCCAAAGGGTATTTTTAGATATTATATTCAGTATTTAATGTGCTTTTGGGGCTCCTGGGTGGTCTAGCCGTCTAAGCGTTGGCCCTATTATCAGGAGATCACAAGTTTGATCCCTGGTGATGCTACAGCTAGCTGTGGCCAAACTAAACTGTGTCTTTCCTCTTGTGAACCTAAATATAAGGTAACCTATATGTGTTGGTGCTTAGTACTAGTTAGTACCACAGAATAAGAGACTTAACACCTTACATTTAGGAAGCATTCATTGATTATGTAATAAATGCGTGTTTAACAGTGAAATATCTGTGAAATGAAGCTTCTCAAAGTCGTCCGTCTTTGTTTCATGGCACACCTGTTGTTTACTGACCAATCCCGGCCTTTTTACACTTTCTGGGTGGTCAGTATGGCCCTCCCATTCCCATGATCACCCAGCACAGTGCTTGCCAGTGCAGGCGTCTGTTAGCTGACATAACAGGACTGGCAGTTAGCGTTCTCCTCCAAACGCATTCAGTATTAGAGACAGTTCAAAAAGTTGCGGTGGTCCTTCACAGGACTCGGAGGAAGTTTGTGTTTACCTTCACCCTCCTAGAATTGGTGGTATTGAGTGATTGAGGGAGTCCTAACTAGTGGGTGGAGCAAGATACAACTAAACTGGGGAGAAAATTGGAAAAAATGTCCCCCAAAAAATGTTTTGACATCAACAAGACTGTAAATCTGTTTTTTTAGGTTTTCTGCCCTTATTCACGTTGAATTACGAGGAATTCTAGATATTAATTTCATTTTTAAAATCATCTACAGTGCCGTTCATCATTCTGGAAGCACAAAAATGTCTTTACACTGCAAAAAAATTATATTTCAGCAAGTGAAAATATCTTAAATGTAGTTTATATATCTAATATTCCTTACTGTGAGAATATTATAAGATTATTGAATCTTTATTCCATTGGCAGATCATTTTACCTGTTTTAAGCATTATTTCTTGAAATTACCTTCATTGTTTCTTGATACAAGTAAAACGATCTGATGATGGAAAAAGACACTTTCACTAAATAAATTACTTAAAACAAGCAAAAATGTATATGAATAAGTTACATCATTGTATAATATTCTCACAACAGTCCCATAATGAGAAATATTAGATATATTAGCTACATTTAAGATGTTTTCACTTGTTAAGATATTGTTTTATGCAGCGTACAGCTTCCTAGTATCCTACTAATTATTTAAATGAGCACTTCAGAATAATTTAATACATTTTTCAGCCGGAAAATTGGTTTTATATCATTAAAAATATCGATATTAAAAACCATACTGCCTTTTCGAGACGTATCACGGACTGAATATAGATACTTGGTTTTTGTATTCTGAATACGCCATTACTGGTATTGCTTACAGCCCAGCCCTGCCTAATGAACACTGCACTCATTCATACACACATACATTCACAACACAGGCTACACAGGCTAACTAACTTACACAAAACAAAACAAACACTGTGCAAGTCCCTACACAAGAATACACAAGCGCACACACACGTGCACGTACACTTTTAATGGCAGCTGTGTGATGGGAGGTCAGCGCTGCAATAGCTTTGATCTGTCTACCTTTCTTTAAAGCCAGCTGACCCGTCCGCCTCCACCCCCTCGTCTGTGGTAAGACCAATGGTACGAACCGACGGTAATCAAACCCCACCCTCACGCTCCACCCCTCCATATACTTACCCTCCCCATCGCCATTAACATCAAGCCTCCAGCATGTCCCACCCCTGTACACACGAACACACATACACGCTGAGAGCTGTTGTGTGTCAGTTGCATCGTTGCATCCCCTCCCCCTGTGTTTGATGCCTCCTTGTTATTGATGCACTGGTGATTTTGTGCTCATTGTGATCTCTGTGTTATACCTCTACCCCCCTGCTGGTTTGCTCTGGTATTACACTCTACTATCAGGGTGCAGTCGACCTCTGAAGTCATTCCGTAGTCTGCGTCATGCCCATATTAGGAACTCCGGGTCTGAGCTGGTTCTGTCTATGAGAAAAATTAGAAGCCATTTTTGAAAATCGCAAACTGTGCTGAACAAAAAAGTTCCAAACTTTTGTCACACATATGTTTTTCCACAGAATGTCACTGGATGCTCTGAATTACGAGGTTGTTTAGCAGTCGAAATACATCCATGCTAATAGCAAGCTACCACCTCTGTGCATTCAAATGAGTAAAGCGCTCAGCATACTTCTTGCTAAACGAAACTCTCGAGGGTTGCACAAAGCCAAAAGCGCCTTTGCAAACATACAAAGTCAAACTCAAATTGAACTTGTTGTCATTCGGACTATGCAACAAGGAGCATACAGCTGAACAAGATTGCGTTTCTCCAGCTCCGATGTGCAAAATATAACTTAAATATAACATAGAGGCAAATGCACATAGACATACTAGACATAAAATATACATATCAGGAAAAATATATGCATATTTTTTAAAGATATTGCACATTATGTAGAAGAATATTGCACATTGTTCTCAGTGATGACATTATTGCACAGTGTAAAGGGAAATGTAAACTTGACACTGGTGAATAGTGATAAAGTGCCCAAGTGAGCAATGAGAACATTGAAAATATTGCACAGAAAAGAGCTGCACACTACAAGCTCGCACGCCAGATGCTTCACTAATGTTCCATGATTGCTAGAAAACGATTCTATCACAGTTAACTGTGATGATGTGTGAGTCCAGAATGCTGCCGCTATTTAAGGTGGAACAGAAATTTGAACTAGAAGCTTCAGCCTCGTCCTCTTGTGAACCAAAATCTAAGATAGCCTGTATGTTTTGGTGCTTAGTACTAGTGCTACAGATAACAAACTAAACATCTTACATTTAGGAAGTATTTATTGATTATTTAATAAATGCGCATCTAACAGTGAAATATTGGTGTCTCTGCTAAAGCACTTATCATACTTTTTGCCAGGTGAAGCTCCTCAAAGTCATCCATCTTTGCTTCATGGCACGCCTCTTTGTTTTCCGGCCAATCACAGGCTTTGTTGTGTAGTGTCTTTCTCTGTGGAGTTCACCGAGCTGGTGTTTAAGCAGAGTATTAGGTAAAATTACACTTGTTATCGCTTAGTTTCCACTCACGATTTTTTCCTTTATGTCTTTCTTTAGTTATACTTTGTTAATTAGTTTAGTAAATAATTTTAATCTAAAGTCATTTTACATCAGGCCTAGTCATAATTTTTTTTCTCTCAGTTGTTTGTAATATTTGTCTTAGTTTATTTTCTAAAATAAAAGTCTCTGTGCATTTAAAATCTGTTTGAGGAGATTAAAATTAGTCAGAGCTTGTATGGAGTACAGTAATCTGTAAAGTAAAAAAAGTCCATTTAGGCTTAGTCCAGTTAGCAATTTTATATTATTATCAGAGTGCCTTCAAAGATCTTGTGCATATGCGTTTATTCATTACAGTATTATTTTTATTCTCGTTAGGAATTTGATAAATATTATTTGTTTTAGTATTTGGACATTTTAATTATTAAAAAACATATATTTAAATTGTCCATTCATAGTGCTACTGGTAATTCTGTTTGTGTCCTCTGTTTTGCTGGCCTTGTTTTCGTTTCTCTGCTCGTTGGCCAGCTCTCTCAGCCGACCGCCAACACCGATTCCTGCTCAATTGGCCAAAAAATGCTAATGAGGACTGACTAGAACCATCAGTGCTGTAAACGCTGCACTGACTCCAGGTGACGGTCAGCCACCACTGCTCACAAGTGGCCTGACAGCTGACACTGGCCTCATGTCCTGGCCCTAAAACTGCAAAAGCCTCTTACCACATTTGACAAAGCTTTCCAGTTTGCGTAGGGTATTTTGGTGCGGCCAGTCAGTAGCGTGAGTCTGCATGTAGCAATTTTCATATTTTAGCTCATTAATGACTTTGTAATTCAGAGGATCCTGTGACATTCGGAGGAAAAGTGGCCATACGGGAAAACATATTACATCTGGAACACTTTGTTTATCACAGCATAGCGATTTCCCAAAACATGGTTCATTTTTCCCATAAAGAAAACCAGCTCAGACCCAGAGTTCCTAATATGGGTGTGACGCCCCCTACAGAGTGATGCACAACCTCCACAAGGTCTACAAGTAGTCAGACGTGAGCTGTTAACTTTAGGAAAGATATCTGCCATTCATGGATTTAATGCATGATCCATTTGTCCTTCTTTGTGCAATACTTGTTGGTTGTAGGTCCATGTGTGCACACCTGGCGGTCTGATTTCAAATAACTACATTTTCTTTTAATAGTTAAAAAATGCTGCTGTTAGAGCTGTTAGAGATTTGTGGCTGTTTGGAGAGTCTTTTAAAGTGTCTGGTTAAAAGATGTGCAGAGAAAAGCTAAAATTTTGTCCAGTATTTTAAAAAAGAGATCAACAACTTAAGAAATCTGTCCATTACAGATAACAGTGTGTTAATGAAAGTCAGAATCAGATCCATCTTGCAGCTCCTTGATCTTGTTCGTACTTTGCCAGATGTGCATAACGTTACTGTTGTAAGGCCTGTAGTGAGATATTTAATAGTTGAAACGGTAAGTTATACCTTAATAGTGGGTTTAGTTAAGACATATTAGACGAATATTAGATAGAAGTAAATGGAAAACTCTGTTTGGGTTCAAGATGCAGTGGGCCTTATACACCAAAGCTGCTTACGGTTAAATCTGATCAGAATATGACGGCATATTTCACAGACGGTTTGGTTGTTCATCAATTTCATGTTTGGCGCAAGCTCACGTCTAGCTGGAATCATGGTCTGACCGATATACTGGTTGGAATATAGTATTGGCTGATTTTCATGAGCCGTGGTTTTAAATGGATCGGCAAAAATACATTATCAGCATTATGCAAAAAAAAAGTGAAAAACTTTTTTTTACTTTAAAAATATACATTTTCATAAAAATGTATTCAAAGAAAATCGAAACATTTCTATTGGCTTGTTTGGCATGTAATTTCGACACTGTATAAAACGGCATGTGGCATTTTCGTCTGATGTTTAAAAAAATTGAAGTTTTGTTTCATTGACAGTGATGATAGATATATACAGTATATATAGCAGTTATTAGTAATGCGTATACTAATATAAAAATATAAATATACAATGACAGTTTTGAAAATTACTTGATTTGTGGTTAAATAATAAAAATCATTGTCACCAATAGCAAAGAGAAAACCAGAACCCGGAAGATAACGCCAGAATCTCCATCACCTTCTTCCGGCTCTTTCGAGTGATGAGACTGGTCAAGCTGCTATCTCGCGGAGAAGGAATCCGGACGTTGTTGTGGACCTTCATCAAATCCTTCCAAGTGAGCAGTGGCAGAGCGTATCATGCTGAGGAACAAGCCATGAAATTCAACCTTATAAAAGAAAAAAGAATGATCGCCCTCGCTGACCAGTCTGTCTGTCTCTCCACAGGCTCTTCCATATGTAGCACTGCTCATTGTGATGCTCTTCTTCATCTACGCTGTTATCGGAATGCAGGTGGGTAAGACTTCACTCAATATCCGCTGTCTTCTGCTCGGTTCCTGTTCAGCACCTGTATGTCATCATCAATCTGCGCTTGTCTAGTATTGTGAAGTGATTAGTGATTGATCAGTATGGGTTTTTATTACCAATAGCCTGTGATGATGTTTGAACTGACCCTCCAGAAAGTTGACAGAAAATATATTTTTATACTATATGTAACTTTTTCAACTTTTATTTTCCCTTTAAAGTAGCATTTTTAAGTATTTGACATACAAAATATAGTGTAGGGTTATGAAACTACATTTCGGAGACTCAAAAAGAAGCCTGCCTAACTTTATGTGTAAAGTGCTTTCCTTTTTAGCCCTTGGCCCACCCCAAAATTGGGCCCCATGAGACAAAAGTTTGGGAACCCTTGGCTTAAGACAACCAATAACTGATACATTGAAGTGATATTGTCTTATTAAACAATTAAAAACACCACAAACAATTTTAGAATAAACATAATATTTTGCAGGTTTTCTTTCTTTTTTATCCTCTCAGAAACAGAAAAAAAGGCATCCAGACAAGATTCAGTTATGTTGCAATTTGCCACATAGTGTTTCTCTACTGTAGACTGAGTAAGAAATGTAGAGATTATGTAATTGGCACAAAATTGAGCACTGTAGTGCCCCCCAGAGGTCAATTCAAACCAAATTTAGTGTCTGTCCTCAGAGTGTCTTTATGTATGTATATACCAATTTTTGTCACAATCAGACATTCCATGATTAAGCTTTAGGCGATTGACTCCTAAAAATTAAGTTTACACTGATTGATGTGTTGCAGTGCAGACATACTGTGTTAAAAACACAATATCTAGCATTTTATTATAATTATGTAGTTTCACACTATGTGGATTGTTTCAATTTCGAAATTATCCAATGAAAATCCAATGAAAATCCATGGATGTTGCACATTTTTAAAAAGACTTATATTCACAGAGTTAGTAGTCCCATATATCTCCTATAATCTGAATTCAGTATGATGTCCACATGTTTTTTGGAAACATGGTTTGCCCCACAATGGCCAATTTTTGTAGTACGTTGCATAATATATAGTTCAATTTGTTCGCCAATCTTAATTCTGTCAAATGCTTGCTGAAATCAAAGAGAACTGACTGATATTGGTCATATTTTCCAATTATTGAACCATCTTTAAACCATCCCTGCAACCTAGCCAGCTCCATTTTTGTATTTAGCAGTAACCCGTATGGTAGAAATAGAGTAAAAGGATAAAAATTGGCCAAAAAAAAGGAAAACATTTATTTTGGCCATAAATATCTCCAGTTCTACATCTATCAGCTGAATATCAGTAGTGATATCAGCCAACTTTTTCTTAATAGCTCCTCTTCCTCCTCACTCTACAGGTGTTTGGTAAGATAGCACTGAGGGACAACAGCCAGATCAACCGAAACAACAACTTTCAGACCTTCCCACAAGCTGTGCTACTGCTCTTCAGGTCAGATCTCCTTTCCTTCTTCTCTCTTTCTTACTGTAACACTGTAATAGTAACCTGGCAGATTTATCGATGCCACATTTTTAAATCTGTCTGGATAATTCACTGAGGACCTTTTGAATGTTCTTAGGTTGAATGTCCATTAGCAGGGAATCAATTGTTTTATGCCAGCAGTAGAGAACACTCCATCTCCAACATCTGAAACCACACATACAGCAAAACCTACAGTTTGAGGCACAAATTCTAATTGAGAGCCGTGGCGACACAAAGAATGAACTGATTTGAAGGCGCAGTATACAATACACCCTCCCTTCAGTTCTCCTTCAGAAGCTCCACCTCACAAATTCAGGGATGCACATTGCCAAGGCAAAGAAAGTTGGGCAAGCAAACTTTTTTTTTTCATCGTTGTGGCCATAAAACTGTTCACAAGTGTTGTACAGACAAATACAATTACATAACGTTAGAGCGAACAGCAACACAGCAAGTAAGGTAACTAACATTAGCTAGGCTGTGGGTTAGCAAACTGTTGCCACAATGGCTGCTGCGAAGCTAAACAGTTGCTATCACAAACATGAGCAAACGGGACAAAACAGTACTGACCTATCAGTTTTGTGAAGCAGCAAAAATAAGATAATGTTGCCCATCCATCAAGCAGAAACAGGGCAGCCTCCTCATCCCTTTTCATGCCTTTCAACTCTCCATGAAGCTGAAATCAGCTTCCTTTTTGCCAGCTTCTTGTACAGATTTTCCCGTTCCACCCTAAATGGTGCAGTAGTTACATTCCAGCGCATCAGCTTGTTGTTCAAATTTTCCTCAAACAGCACCTGTGGGATTTAAGGTGGAACAGGAAAACGTGAATCGTAAGCCAATTCAGCCTCATCAGCGCTCTGAGTTCTCCTCACCTAATCTAAGGGCTTCTTTCTCAATCTGCGTTCTTCAGATTTTCTCCTCTTTGGCTGTTTCCCGGCCGTCTATCCTTCTTGATGATGCATGGAGTTTAGCACGTAGACCTTCCCCTTTCCCCTGTCCTGTACACAAGCATGAGCTCCCCCTGTTGCTGATTGGCTGGAATAGTGTTGTGTCGTTTGGCCCAAGACACTTTGTTTGGTTCCCATTAACAGAGCTAGGGCTGTATACCAACACCGGCTTTTTTCCAGTGCGCACAGAACAGAGGGCTAGAGGACCATGAGTAGACATTTGCTGAATTTGACATAAAGTGTATTGGGTTGAAATCGTATACTGCACCTTTAATTAGAGGATTTGTGACGACTCAGTGACTTTATGATGTCTTTTTCTAAGGTCAAAAATGCTCTGTAACTGGTCAGAAATATCCCTGAAAACGAAATCCAATGGCAAAGATTAAATAAACCAATTTCTTTCCATGTGCAGGTGTGCAACAGGTGAGGCATGGCAGGAGATCATGCTGGCCTGCTCCCCTAACCGGCCATGTGAGAAGGGCTCTGAAGAGGGTCCTACCAGTGAAGACTGTGGCAGCCACTTTGCCATTATCTACTTTGTCAGTTTCTACATGCTCTGTGCCTTTCTGGTGAGCAGCTTCTTATGATTCAGACTATTCAGTAGTAAAGCTCTCAAAATAAAAACAATATTTACATAGAATAGAAACTTTGATTGTCGTTATACTTGCATACAACAAAATGTAGAGTATTTATTGAATCCAGTATAATGAAAACATCCATTTGACCAATTAAAGCTACCGGCTGCGGCTCCTACTGTGTTCCAGCTTACTTAGTAAATAACATTATCACAAGCGCCGGAGGGAAGGACATTCCACTGCTGACCATAAACAAACAAAACTATGATTATTTTGGCTTTAATTAGAATTTTAAATTGTATGGGAATATTTACAAATGTACAGCTTTTTAGCTGCTCAGACATTCTGAATAACACTAATGTAGTGAAATGTTCTCGTATGAGGTAAGAGAATGATCTGCTTCAGATAGCAGACTTTTTTTTGTTCTGAGTGTGGACGCTTTATAAGCTAGAAGTCTAGTAGTATCTATAAAGTGGTGAAGTGCTGCTTCAGTTAAAATTACTGCAGGTACAGACCTTTTCTTTCATGGTACTTGATAATTTATGCCCCCTTGTGGATTCAGAAAATATAACATTGATTTAGAAATCTGGTGTTTGCTGCAGTTATATATCCTGCTTATTTTATTTGCAAAAAATGTCAATAATGTTTTAAATAATGTATTTAAAGCTGCACAATGTAAGATTTGGGGATTTGGAGACCTCTCTGGTGGAAATGAGTAACTGCAGGCAATGTGCAGAAGAACATTTTTCACATTTTGCCAATACAATGAAATATAACTTCATCTAAATGGCAGCTTAAATGACAGTTCCCAGGAAATCTCTCACTATCTGACTACTAAAAATCTTACAGTAATTTATGAAGCTAGAATATCATCCACTGCACCATCCGTATGGTATATTTTCAGTCTTCATTGCATTAACACAGCTTCCCATCTCCCTTCCAACAGATTATCAACCTGTTTGTGGCTGTCATCATGGACAACTTTGACTATCTGACACGTGATTGGTCGATCCTGGGGCCGCATCATCTGGATGAGTTCAAGAGGATATGGGCAGAGTATGACCCTGAGGCCAAGTCAGTCGTTTTCTGTTCTCTCGTAACTCATCCAGTTTTTAACTCCTTTTAAAATGCTTCTTATACTGTGTACCTACCTGTTTACAGTATTTAACCACTGGAACCTAGACATGCATCTAAGGCCTGGTTCAACAGACTGCAAAAAATAATATCTTAGCAAGAGAAAACTTCTTATATGTAGTCTAATATTTCTCATTATGATATTGTTGTAAGAATAAAATTAAAATAAATTTAAATGACACATTTAATATTAAAAAAATATTAATTAAATGTTTAAAGAATTCCATTGATTTTTTAAATTCAGTGTGTGAGGTGTAAACAGAGTGATTCGGAGTGGTTTGGTGTGAAATGGTTCAGATGTCTTTACAGTGATGGTGATAGGAACCAGGGGTTGCCATGACTACAACACAAATATAGACATTTTATTTACTATCCAAAACCACCAGTGAACCTACACGAGTCTTCTGAGATTTATATGGAATGTAGATGATGGTGAAATAGTAATAAATCTGAAAAAATAAGTTTATTTGGGGACTATTTTGCCTTAGAACATCCTTCATGTATCCCTCCACCATGAGTGGATTAACATAAACTAATTAAAATACACTTTAGGCCAACATTTTATCACAAAACTACCTTAAAATCTCTCCGACATAAGGCCAAAAAAATAAGTTTTCTATAGGGACTATTTTACCTCAAAACGCCCTGCATGTATCCCACCACCATGGCTAATAAATGCACATTTTAGGCCAAAATCTTAAAACTATTATATTAAAGCCATTTCATATAATAACATATAATATCCAAGAGCTTTTAGAAGCATTAAACTTTTCAGACGTCTGGTTCCCATCACCAACACTGTGAGCAGTCCAGAAATAAATATTATCCTTATTTCATTATTTCTCTATTCCATAATTTCACTAAATATGTAATAGTGTAGACCTACTTGTGTTTCAGTATTTTCTAATAGTATGTTATTCTGCTTGTTGATTTAAAGAACAGTATATTGAGACTCAACTTGTTTGGCAGGCTGATATTTTCATATTTCACTTCTTCGATATGTGGGTCCTGCCTCATCATGTGATACATGCAGAGCATCTCGAAAGCCTATTGGTGATCTCAACGAAAGTTTATTGATGGTGTCAGTGCAATGTTGATGTTTTCTGGTTCTCATTAGTGCAATTTGCACTTTGTTAATTTTCTTTTTTTACTTGATTTCATTCATTTATGGCCAATTTCATATGGGCTCACATTAAAGACCATGAAAAACACCAGAGTTTTGTCTTTTCCGGTTTGATAAAAGTTGTATGTGTTGATCACAGGGGAAGGATTAAGCATCTGGATGTGGTGACATTACTGAGGAGGATTCAGCCGCCTCTGGGCTTTGGCAAACTCTGTCCCCACAGAGTGGCCTGCAAGGTAAATATCAAGTCCACCTGCCTTTATATACGAACCAAATACATATTCATAAAGCTAAAAACTCGTAACATCAACTTACGGTGCATGCGTGACTTGACCTTCCCAGCGCCTGGTGTCCATGAACATGCCTCTGAACAGCGACGGCACAGTGATGTTCAACGCTACTCTGTTTGCCCTGGTGCGCACAGCCCTACGCATTAAAACTGAAGGTATAAAATGCACTAATCACACTGTATTATACACACACACACACACACACACACACACACACACACACTCTCAGAGCATTAACTTTCCATGTGTCTGTCTGTGTGGGTGTGCACTGGTTTGTGCTGTTAGGTAACCTGGAGCAGGCAAATGAAGAACTGAGGGCCATAGTGAAGAAAATCTGGAAGAGAACTAGTATGAAGTTGCTGGACCAGGTTGTGCCCCCAGCTGGAGGTCAGTAATAGTATTTGGCCAATATTTCATGGAGTTGTAGTATTTGATTTACTAGTAAACACTCAAAGTTTTAAAACATACTGTTCACTCCCCAGTCAGTCCATATAAGCAAAAATAGACCATTTTTTCACGAAAGCAAGAGCATTTGCATATATGCATCATTCATTGGTTCAAAATCAGTGTGAAAAAAAAAACATATTTGGGACTTTTAACTGATCCTGGACTTTATACCTTAATTATGTTTATTTTATTACAAAAAATGATAGAACATTTGATTTTCTTACTACCAAAACAATCATAACACTTCATAACAAACTACATATAATCATATCACCAAACTTTACCAAATGTTTTAGTGCATTCTTTAAAAAAGGTTCTTTCATAAAGACAGTGGTTCAGTCATTGGCATGCTAAATGGTTATTTGCATAGTGAAATACTTTTACAGATTGATGGAGAAAATGTTGTGCAAGCTTCTATATAGCACCTATTTTTACAACGTCAAGCTTGTAACAATAGAAGAATCCTTTTACCCGGTTTTCTCCCCAATTTAGTCGTCTCCAATTCCACCCGCTAGTTAGGACTCCCCCAATCACACGATGCTATCAACGCTAGGAGGGTGAAGGCTAACACAGGCTTCCTCCAAGACCTGTGAAGCCAACCACCGCTTCTTTTCGAACTGCCGCTCACGCAACGTCACTGGACAGCCGAACGCGCTCGGAGAAAAGCGCCAACCGCCAGATCTGTTACGTCAGCTAACAGACGCCTGCGCTGACTAGCATCGCGCTGAGTGATGGGGGGAGAAGGAGGGGCCATCCTACCCACCCAGAGAGAGCGAGGCCAATTGTGCTCTCTCGGACTCCCGGCTACGGACGGCTGTAGCATCACCAGGGATCGAACTCGCGATCTCCTGATGAGGGCCAACGCTTAGACGGTTGCGCCACTCAGAAGAATCCTTTTTATATGTGGATGTACACCGATCAGGCATAACATCATGACCACCTCCTTGTCCATTTTGTCAGCTCCACTTACTATATAGGTGCACTTTGTAGTTCTACAGTTACAGACTGTAGTCCATCTGTTTCTCTGATACTTTGTTAGCCCCCTTTACCCTGTTCTTCAGTGGTCAGGACCCCCATGGACCCTCACAGAGCAGGTAGTATTTAGGTGGTGGATCATTCTCAGCACTGCAGTAACACTGATGTGGTGGTGGTGTGTTAGTGTGTGTTGTGCTGGTCTGAGTGGATCAGACACAGCAGTGCTGCTGGAGTTTTTAAACACTGTGTCCACTCACTGTCCACTCTATTAGACACTCCTACCTTGTCAGTCCACCTTGTAGATGTAAAGTCAGAGACGATAGCTCATCTCTTGCTGCACAGTTTGTGTTGGTCATCCTCTAGTCCTTCATCAGTGGTCACAGGACGCTGCCCACAGGACGCTGTTGGCTGGATATTTTTGGGTGGTGGACTATTCTCAGTCCAGCAGTGACACTGAGGTGTTTAAAAACTCCAGCAGCACTGCTGTGTCTGATCCACTCGCACCAGCGCAACACACACTAACACACCACCACCACGTCAGTGTTACTGCAGTGCTGAGAATGATCCACCACCTAAATACTACCTGCTCTGTGAGGGTCCATGGGGGTCCTGACCACTGAAGAACAGGGTAAAAGGGGGCTAACAAAGTCTACAGAGTGTAGAAACAAGGAGGTGGTCATAATGTTATGTCTGATCAGTGTATATGTTATTTATGAAAGCGTTCAAAGTTTCAACTTGGGAATGAAGTAATGAAGCTCTTCATGTACCTTTCACTTAACCTCCTTTTGTCTCTTCCCAGAGAGAAATATCTTTCTTAAGATTGTCTCAGCAGATCTCAATACTGTATTAATGAAGGATCACTGACTCTCTGAGAAAAGAGAGATTAACATCAGCATTTCACTGTGAGAAGATCTAGTGCTGAATGAGAAAAGCATGAATTCTCCTTCTACACTGACAGACTGCTGAGAGAGTTCTGCGATATGAAATAGAGCTGTATAAGAAAACAAAGAGATCTTACACTTTTCTTTTGGAAATACTATTCAGCTCAGACTGGAGTGAGATGAGTCAGACACTAGAGAGTTAATCCAGAGGCCTGTGTAGTGAGAAAATCTGAGGGTTATTTCTCAAGAGCCACATTTCAGGAACAGGAGAAAATGGCTTGAGCCTCACACTGGTTTCAAACAGGACCACATCCAGGATAAGTTCCTTGAGATAAAGAGGAGATGCCATTTACAATATTTCCTTCCTCTGGGTTTGATTATAAATCAAATTATAAAAATAAAAAGTTTTAACTTTATCTGATCGCGGTTTCGCTTATTCGACTGTGTTCGTGCTGGTGTCTGTCTCTAGATGACGAGGTGACAGTGGGGAAGTTCTATGCCACGTTCCTCATCCAGGAATACTTCAGGAAGTTCAAGAAGCGGAAGGAGCAGGGCCTGGTGGCTAAAGTGCCCCCAAAGTCAGCTCTCTCTCTGCAGGTGGGTCTAACACGATACACATGCTGCTGTCTCTTTATGCACGTGCACAGTATCAACAGCCTTTAATTAATCTGAATGTGATCTCGTTTTTAGGCTGGCCTGCGTACGCTGCATGACATGGGTCCAGAGATCAGGAGGGCCATATCCGGTGACCTGACCGTGGAGGAGGAGCTGGAGAAGGCCATGAAGGAGACGGTGTGTGCCGCATCTGAGGATGATATCTTCAGGGTAAAGGTCTGATAGTTTTTTCTCTTTTCCTCTCCCTCGCTCAGCTCAGACCATCGCTTCTGCCGCTGGAGCTTCCTGACCTATGGGTGACCACCGCATCTGCACATCACAGTCAGACCAAGCTTCTTGTATCAGATAATTTCTTTTGTGTTTTTCAGCACGTTAAGCCCTGTTGGAGCTGGATTAGCTTTATCTGGGGAGGTGCTTTAAATTTGAGTGACTACCGATGAGATCAATGATTTTAATCCAGCATGAATCTGCTAAGTAATAATTCTAAGCAAATTACAGTAACACTTTCTATGAATGTCACGTTTGTAAGCATCTATAAACACATTTATAACATGTTATAATGCCTTCATACGGCATTATAAACATGATTATAAACATTTATAAAAATGAATTACACTGGATTACACTTTATAGCCATGTTTATTATACATTATGAATTGTTAATATAATGCATTATAAGTAGTGTTAATAACATGTTATAATGTCAGTGCCAAAGAAGTCAGTCCCAGCTTGGAGAGTGTAAAGTAAAGACAAATGCCAAGCTAACGGTGGTGAACATTACCTTTCCCACATTGGGTAAAACACTGATGCAGCTCTAGTTTAAACTCTGTCATTTGAAGCCTGTAATGTGCTTTACTGTGAATGTTTTAGTGTTTCAGTAAATCCTTCAGTAAATACTTCAACTTGAAGCCTCACTCTGAACACTGGAGGAGGCTTTAGTACAGCACGCTTCACTTTACTTAGAGCGGACAAATACGACTTATGAGCTCTTATAATTTGTTATGAACAGTACTTATAATGTATTATGTTAACAATTCATAATGCATAATAAGCATGGCTATAACATGCAATGCATTTTTAGAAATATTTATAGTCATGTTTATAATGCCTTATGAACGCATTATAACATGTTATGAATGTGTTTATAGATGCTTACAAAGGTGACATTCATAGAAAGTGTTACCCAAATTACTTTGTAGAGTTGGCTGAACTCGGAGCTCCCTCAGTAATAGTAATCGTGTTCAAATCAACATCACAGAGCTGTAATAATAAAACTGGGTGATAGGAAACGCTGCCTCCATTTTTTTCTTATTTTTGCTTTTTTTGGCATCCTGAAGATGAGGCTAACAGCTAAAATGGAGCTTGATTTGATCCAATTCCTTAATCCTCGAGTTTAGAACAAGACTAAAGAAATCCACAACATTTTTGCTGATGGCGGAAGCAAAAAGAAATATCTTCTCAAATATATTTGCAAAGCATTTTCTGTTTTGTTGGGCTGAATTTGGAAAGTTTTACTTTCACAGCACTTCAACCAGTCATGAAAACCAGCTTAAATGAAAAGACATTTGTGACAAAATTTGGTTTATATTCCCTCCCATATGCTATGATTATGCACCATCATTGATTGCCCCACACTGAAATGAGATCCAAAGTCTCCTCCCTCGTCCAGTGTCACACTTTGGGGTTTTTTGACGCCATTTTTGCCATTTAGTCATACAGTGTGTCGTTATGGTTCAGAAATGTGGTGCCTGTCGCATAATGCTGACTTAAACATCTGCACAATGGCTGTTTGAGGTAGTTTGGGGAAATTGCACAGATTCTTTAATCCATATGAATCAGCCAGACAAATCACACAAATTACATTACCAAACCTCCTCTGGGAAAACTAATCCAGCTCCAACAGGGCTTTACACAGCATTACAGTAACTGACACATATGAGTCAGTGCTCTGTGCCTGAGTTTGGTTATTTCCCTGCTCCAAAACACCTGCTACGCCTGGTTATTCACTAATTTATATCCTCTGAGTTAAATGGCCACAAAATCTGGCATTCAGTGTTATTTTTGTGTTGTGCAGTACTCCATAGAGCAGAACTGAATTCCTTGGACAGAATTAATATTATTATATCATTATATCATTGGAAATCCCTGTGGGGTCAACCAGTCTTGACTGCTTGCCTGTCCACTGAGCTGTAAGCTATTAAATACAACCAAGTTAGCACTAGTATAACTCAGCTTTTTCTTTATCAGAGTCACAATTTAATTGAAGAATGCCTGCGGAGTGCAGTATACTTGGATTTGGAAATCATGAATTGGCTAGTGTACTAGATAACGCTTTCGCCCAACCCACAGACAGAGTTTGTGAGCAAGATGGCTACCTTTCTTATTCTTCTGAATAAGTGCATTTTGCAATTCCCAAAAATATGGTGAAAAAATATATATTTAGGAGTGTTTGGCCAGAAATACAACACAAAATGTGAACACCAAACAAGTTTGTTTACTCTTTGAACCAGAGAAAAGGGAGTCGGACTGAGGTACAGTATCCAGAGTTAGCTAAGATACCTTAGAACAGGTGTGTTAAACTGGGTTCTGCGGGGTTACAGCTCTGCATGACCTGCTAATGAGCTGATCAGCTGAATCAGGTGAGTTTAATGCAGCAGAACGCCTCATTAGCCTGCAGAGCTGCCACCCTCCAGGACTGGAGTCTGACACATGTACTTTAGAACCTTGATAACTTTAGCTTTTATCTCGTTCTCCTTCTCATCTGACAAGTTGTTTTAATCAGTGCTGCTTACTGTAATGATGATTTGAAGAAAAATGATGACAGCTATATGGTTGCGATGAGATATTCACAGTAACTTCTAAATTCCTTCTGCATTTGCCAGCTAGCAAAAACATCACAGAAACGGCAACTTTACAGGAGAAGGCAAAAACATTCTTTACATTTAATGTAAGTTAATGTAAAGAGATTTTATTCCAAGGAATTTTGGAGCATTTATATTGGTCCATACATTCAATCATGAAATTTTCATTCAATTTAAAGAATATCTGCTGTGTTCAAATGATGTAGAAAAATCACAATCGCAAAAAATGGAGTTACCTATTTTGTTTTTGTTTTTGGACAGCGATGATATGTAGTGACAGTTAAATCTTTCAGTTCCTTTAAGATCATCTTAACTATTAGAGGTCAAAGTGATACTCTCTTTAGTCTTACTGTGATCTTTACTGTGCCTTTATAATGGTTTTGCCATTTGAAATCTAGCAGTTGTTCCTTTATTACAAGCATTAATGAACAAGAAAGTTGAGCTGATGTGGTATGCGCTATAACTTTGGCGCATCCAGCATATCTGGTAAATATAGTTTAAATAAGAACAAAACAAATGCATAATGTGATGCTTTCATATTATTTGCCTCGACATCTTTCAGTCTAATGCAGTATATTTCATTTACGTGAATGCATGTCTGCGCTTTGCTCTCATTCATGCTGGCAAGCAAGAGTGACTGAATGTGTGTATTCATATTTTTTATTTAGTGCAGTAATTACCAAGTCATATGTGACTCCAGTGTTTCATTTTTAATAAAAAGGGGAACTGAATGTGGCTGTGCAGAGGACAGCTTGTGAAGCAGTTGTGTTGGGTGATTTATGTGTATATTGGCGTGTAGTGATCAAGTCTGTCTCTTTGCAGCGATCAGGCGGCCTCTTCGGAAACCACGTGAACTATTACCATCAGAGTGATGGCCGCGCCTCCTTCCCGCAGTCCTTCACCACTCAGCGACCGCTGCACATCAGCAAGTCAGGCAGCCCTGGAGAGGGAGAGTCGCCATCGCATGAGAAACTGGTGGACTCCACCTTCACCCCAAGCAGCTACTCTTCCTCAGGTTCCAATGCCAACATCAACAACGCCAACAACACCGCCATCGGACACTGCTACCCCAGCCCCTCCATCAGCACTGTGGACGGCCACACCAGACCACTGCTTGCACCTGTACTACTGCCTCACTCCTCATGGTGCTTCCCTAACAAGAGGTATGGAAAGGAGGTGCAGAAACATAACAAGCTTGCACGACTCCATGGTGGAGTCACCACGTCACCATGTGTAAGCCAGAAAACAGGCCCTGATTTTGAATGATAACCTTTCTATGTGAAATTTTGAAACAATAAAGAAAAGTATTTGAACCTCAGTTAATTTAAAGTCTTTAAAATTCTGTAGGGAAGATATGGACTGCTATTTTCAGCCCCTTTTCCACCATGACGCATGGCATTTCCTCCGCATGGTTAAATAACCATGCTGGAGGCCACAGAACTGTTAGGTGGGATAACTTAATGACATAGCTCTTCGCTGAGTGGTTCTACATATACGTTGGTATTGTGCCACCACATCCTGTGTTATTAACCCGAAAACAATCAGGTAAGTTCAGTTTGCCAAATAAATGTAAGCAGTTTGTGATTTTCAGTCCATCTTAACAACTAAATGTTTAACTACGGAAGAGGAGCTTGTTAGCGTTAGTGTAGCATGCTAACAGATGTTCTCACCACAGAACACATTTGATTCTGGCTAAAACTCATGTTCAGATGAAGATGACTCCAAGTGAGTGGAGCTGGGGTCAAAGAAAATTGAAATCTAACCTTTTCTGTGGAGTTTTGAGCTGTAGCCTGCTGGGCTACGCTAATGCTAGCTTAATTATCAGGCTAAATGTGCGTCACACCACAGTACAGGATTGGTTCCAACTCAAATAACATATATTTAGAGTATATAGCCAGAATCATTCAAGTGGTGTGTGTGTGTAGCTGTCAGTCTGTTAGGCATCACTGAGCCACTGTCCTGCATAGTTTTCCTTTGGTATTTTCTAGACCTGATTTGGCAGCAGGTGAAATAAGAAACTGTAACTGGTTTCACGAGTCTGCACCAGCATGGAACGGCACAATACGGCCATGGGAACCTTTTGGCTCTACAGTGGACAAGAGGCCATAGTTTACTAGGGGCTGCTTAATTGTAGCAGCCTGTTAAACTCACCCTGCCATGTGGAGGCTGTGCTTTATCCTGGCTAGCTTTTGCTTTGAGCTGTGTATATGCTTCTAAACGCTGCTCTATATCTATATATATATATATATATATATATATATATATAGACACCGTAAAGGCGATTAAAATCAAATTTCTGTGAATTCTGTGACAAGTCAGTAATTGAAAAAGTGGTGTCTTTTATTGTAAATCTCAAGATATACAATAATGAAGGTCAGTTTTGTTTGATAAGTTTGAAAAGAAAAGATATCAGAGGATGTCAAAACTTTTGTCTTTTGTCCAATACAAAGTAAAAGTCTTGTCTGTCAGGATCTCTCACAAAGCGTTGCATTGGGTCATCCCAGATAGCACGCATATATCGGTCCACTGACTTGATAAGGTCGGCACCTCACTGACTGTTTGCCACTGCTGGTCCACCCTCAGACCACCCAGATTACTGTTCTGCATACAATCTCTAACTAGTTTTTAATCTCCTCAAACATTTTAAATGCCCATAGTCTTTTATTTTGGAAAATAATCTAAGATAAATATTACAAACAAACTGAGAGAAAAAAATAATGACTTTATAGTGATTCACAAAGTATAACTAAAGAAAGGAAGGAAGGAAAAATCAGTAAATTGGACTGAGTGGAAAATGAGGGATTATAAGTGGAATTTTGTCTAGCAACTGGTGGGCCATCCAGAGAATGCTGAGCCAAATGCCAGTGGACCGCCAGGTTTGCCATCAGCGGGCCAACAGTGGCCCACTATCCTCTTGCTTTTAGGGATGCAACAAGATCAGATCAGTTTTGCTTTAAGGGAGTTTAATTGATGCAATTAATAATTTTTGGGCACCACTGACTTATTTTATCTCTTTTTGTCTGTTCAGCTCGGACTCAAGTGACAGCTGCCTCCCCATAATCCGTCGGGAGGAGGTGTCCAGAGATGAAACATATGACGAGATGTTCACAGAGAGAGAGTGCCATCGTGATCAGAACATGCTGTCCACTGAAATGTAAAATATACAAAAATTTCCTCTTTTTTACGTTATTTTACTGATTTTCTCTTTTGTGTTTGAGGGGTTCTCTGTTTTGGAGTGTTTGTGTCTTTTGTGTATTCTGAATACATGTGTGGAGGAGGGGAGAAAGGGGCACAACCTCACACATTAATACCTCTAAAAGTATTTGAGCAAGATTAATCAATTTTTTATGCCATCAACCTACACGTCTCAGCTACAAATGAAAATCTAAACTCTGTTTTTGGCACCTGCTGTTTAGGTTTAACCCTCTGTGGTCTGAGGTCGTTCTCTCTGGATTTGTTAATCTCTTCCTAAACTCTCCTTTAAAGGCTCTTCATATATCATGATCCTCATATGTTTCATATCTAAATGCTCCGTTATCTTCATCACTACTTTCCAAAACCGCTGCAGCAGCTTCAGCAGCTGTAAACTCTCTGCACGCCGTTTCACATGAGTCTCCGATGTGGACTGAATGAAGAATGAAGGGTTTCCAGCATGATGGTCAGTCCTTAGTGATTTCCCGAGTGTCCATTGGTCAGTTTCACACAGAATGTAAAAGGATACACGAGTCCACCAGTTCCACACGGTGAGAGGCAGATGACATGTATTTCAGCCCCTCTTCATAGGCTGAAACTCGAGGCTCGGCTTGGACTCTCACCTCAGAGACTCAGCTCAGACAGTCACCTCAGAGACTTAAGTCTCAACTTAGACTCTCACCTCAGAGACTTAAGACTCGACTCAGACTCTCACCTTGGAGACTCAGTTCAGACTCTCACCTCAGAGACTCGAGACTCGACTCGGACTCTCACCTCAGAGGCTTAAGACCCGACTCGGACTCTCACCTCAGAGACTCGAGACTCAACTCGGACTCTCACCTCAGAGACTCAAGACTCGACTCGGACTCTCACCTCAGTTACCCGAGACTCAACTCAGACTCTCACCTCAGAGACTGAGCTCAGACAGTCGCCTCAGAGACTCGAGACTCGACTCGGACGCTCACCTCAGAGACTCAAAACTCGACTTGGACTCTCACCTCAGAAACTCGACTCAGAGACTCCAGAGTCAGCTCTGACTCGAACGTCAGAGAATCGAGACTCAACTCGGACTTAAATCTAAGAGACTCAAGAGTCGACTCGGACTATCACCTCAGAGACTCCACTCGGACTCTCACCTCCGTTTCACACAGAATGTAGACAGACACACCAATCCACCAGTTCCACGCGGTGAGAGGCAGATGACGTGTATCTCAGCCCCTCTTCATAGGCTCATAACTCCGGATGTGAGTCTCGTATGATCTCGAGATAAGATGGAATGGAAAGGGCGACTCTACAGATTCAGGAAGTGTTTGAACTGGATTTCTGTGCTGGATCATCACAAAGACACACAAACAGAGATAGAACATCCAATTTGTCATGCGGGTGATTTTGTGGACCCCAGAGGGTTAACAGGTATTCTGGGATTGATACCTGATGTAATAGTTCTAATGGTCTTTTTTCAGCAGGGGTAACAGACTGAGGGGCAAATTGACACCAAAAATCTGATAAATTAATGCAAAACTCAATTAATACAATACACAACTATGAGAGTAAATTACAGCGTAAACACATAATAATATATTCATAGTAAATTTAATTTGTGTCAGAAATTTATTTTTGATCTTGAAGTAGAACAGCAATAATACATTTAAAAATATATTTTATTTACATAACAATGTACAATGTTTTTGATAAATCTGTGCACAGAAAAATAGGATGTGGAGGAGACAGAGTTCTCTCATTGTTTACATTGTAGTTGTAGGAGGCTTAGTTGTAACACTGCAATAAAACTAACCCCCCCATGTGGAGGCTGTACTTTAGCCTGGCTAGCTCTCACTGTGAGCTGTTTATCTGCTTCTAAATGCTGCTTTATTACAGATTAAAATAAGATAGGATTGAATTCTGTGACTCACTAATCAAAATGCTTTCATGGTGTAAAAACAGTCTTCAGGGTGAATCTGGAGAATTATCTGTCCGACTGCTGTCAAAATTCAGATGACGTTGCTGTGGGAATAGGAGAACATGACTAAAAGCACATTCAGCTTGAACCTGTTCCACTAAATATCACTGCTACATTTTAACCCCACATTAGTTTGTGCCCCCATCTCCCCTACCAAACCTCAAAATCCAGTACAAAAACGTGAATAAATGAATGTGTGTGCGTGACAGGTTGGCGTTACAGGATGAAGAGTGTAAGCAGCTAGCTGAGATGGAGGAAGGAGATGTGGGTGAGGACAGAAGACCGTGGCAGTCTCCCCGACGAGCCTTTCTTTGTCCTACTGCACTGGGTAAGAATGATTAATTCTCACGCAAAGAAATGCAGAACACAAAAGAAATGCATCCATTTTATTGTGACAGTCGGTTTACCTTCAATAATTAGCATCCTTTCTCATGACAAACACAGGCAGACGATCTTCCTTTCATCTAGAATGTCTACGGAGACAAACCAGAGCTGATTCTTCTCAGAAGACAGCAGTACCCCTGCACCTAGTCCACCACCAGGTGGGAAAAATAGCAAAATGGATATTTATTTACTCATAAAAACTGATTTATGGAGATGACCTTAAGCTACAAGCATCTGGGGCCAGTTGCATTAACAGGGCGTGAAAAGCATTTGCTAGTCAGTCAAGCTAAAGAATATTTACTGCATATTTGCAAATAAGCTTTGTAGTCAATGGAGACCTTAAACATTGCTTGCCTGAGGGTTTGGATAGTAATTCACTTCAAACTGTGAAATAAAAGAATAAAGGCAATTAATATAAAACTAAATCATGGTTTTGTTGTAACAACTCAACATTCATATTGCAGATGATTGTAGTCTAAATGGCCTAATGTTGCTTTAGCATGTTTCTGTCTTGAAGTTAAGCTGTTCTGCTGATCAAGGCCCACATATCATGCGCTACTAATTAGGGTTGGCAGGGTTAGATTTTTTAAAGTCAACAGTTATATGATGGAAGTCGAGTAGACGCCGAATAATTGCTGATGATGCAACGAATAAAACCACAGGAGAAGCGAATGCTTTGCAACAAGCAACTACAAAAATCTGTAACGAAGCCAAACTCCACGTTAGTAGAGTGTGACGTGCCCTTTCCAACAATCCCTGGATCTCAGTGCTGGCCTCCAGGGAACTGAACATATGCACTGCAAAATATGACATCTTAGCAAGTGAAAAAAAATGTAATGTAGTCAAAATATCCCATATGCAACAGTTATACAACAGTTAGTTCTGGCCATGCAAGCTGATTGGTTGAGAAGCGTTCTAACTGTGCTGTTATTTCACCATAACATCACGTTTTTTTCACAAACACTGTATCACTCCGCTGAGACACCGTTGCTAAGCAACGACTTTGACAGCTGTAGGAGACGCTCAATACATTTGAACGTTTTTACTTCCTACTTTGCCACAAACAGAAAATGGACACTTTTAAGATCACATTTGACCGACAGCCGATTTGGTCAGACTCTGAAGATGAGACGACACTAAATTCCCAAACTGTCATCACCACTGAGCAGCTTTTCAGTCGGCAGCTGTGACAGAAGAACAGCTGAACAACCTGGAATCAGCCAGAAATGAACCCAACACCATTCGCCAAACTAAATGGGCTGTAAGATGCTTTACAGACTGGCTGGAACAAAACAACATTAATACTGATCTGGCAAAAACTGACTAAACTGAGCTAAACTTGATATTGCGGCAGTTTTATGGCTCAGTCCGTATTTCAAAAGGTGAGTCTTACAGCAGACTGTGCAGCGAGTGGGCGGAGCTCGTTACTCTGACGTAGCAACAAGCTGCTCGTTAAGGAACTATAATTTGGTGAAGGAGCTGCGAACATTAAAACATATTAAACGCCGCGTTCACGGCCCAGTTTATTAATTTCTTACTTTATTTATTTAACTGTTGTATAAAAGCAGTAGAACACTCGAGGTCATGTGTTATCATGAATAACATCACGGCTGTGATGATCTACGGCGACCAAATCACAGCCGTGATGTTATTTCACAGATAGTGGCCTTCTATAAATACCCTCTGTAAAATACAGAAAACATGAAAACATTTCTTCTGATTCTAAATAAATACTTATGATTTCTTGTATAACTGTGTTTTACCACCTGTCTGTAAAGCACTTTGAGCTGCCACTGGCACAAAAAGTGCTATATAAATAAAAATTATTATAATTATTATTATTGTTTTAGTGAAGGGATGCACTGGCCAACCAGATTAGTCATTTAGGTAACAAGGTAGTTATTTTACTGTAACCAAATTGTGAGCTCTCCAGTTTTCCCTAATTCCACCCCCTGAGTCAACTTTAAACAAGATGATATGACTAAAAAGCAAATGTCTTATAATAGGTATAATCCTAATGCCTTATAAGGTTATCTGCTCCAATCCCTGTTAATGGAACTGGTCAAGCAGTAACTTCTGTGTTATTTTTCTCACTCATTATTTCCCCTCACGCATGCACACAGGCACTGGCAGTAGCAGGGCTGAGCCCCTTGCTGAGAAGGAGTCATTCTCCAACTCTGTTCACTCGTCTGTGTTCCACGCCTCCTGCCAGTCCCTGCACCCAAGGGCCAGGTGGGCTGTGCGATCAGCCTGTACCCTCACTGAGGCTGGAAGGAACTGGTTCCTGCGAGAAGCTCAACAGCAGTCTACCGTCAGTCAACTGTGGCACATGCCGCAGCGACAGCAATGGAAACGACACCAGGGGCTCTCGGAGAGCGCTGCGTCCCGTCTCTCTAACAGTGCCGTCTGTAACATGCAAAGAGACGGGCTTACTCTCGCACGGCAGCGCTGGCAGTCTTGTGGAAGCGGTGAGGAAAAGACACTCTCTCAGTGCCTCACTTTCTGTTTTTGGTTCATCTAATCAGTTTATCTCCAAAACACCAGCATCTGATGCAGTGAGTATTAGGCTATTTCAGGTCCATTCTTTATATTATTGCTAATTGTTAATCATTATTGTTATTATTATTACAGGCTCAAACTCAGTGGTACATGTTTTAACGTCTTAAAATCCCAGGCTAATTACAAACTAAGGCTTTTTATTCAGTAACTACATGGACGTCAGTGCAAACTGGCTGAGATATTCTCATGTAATAGAATTGTGCAGTAAAACTTTGGACCCACTGGTGGGTTCAAATGAGTTCAAATAGAAAAACAGGCTCAGACCCAGATCCAAATTCCAAAAAAGCAAATAAAAACAGAAAGCAATACATATATATATAAAAAGGATTTGCAAATTCTTTTTATATATATATATTTTATATTTTTGTATTTGTTTCAACTAATTAACATTATTGTTTTTGTATATACATGCTTATTCTAAATTTGATGCCTGCGATACATCCTAAAAAAGTTGGGACATGAGCATGTTTACCACTGTGTGACATCACATTTCCTTTTAACACTTCAGCTTTTCAGCAGTCTGGAGTCTCAGTTGTTGTATATTATTCTTCATTATGTGCCACACGCTTTGAATTTGAGACAGCTCTGGACTACAGGCAAGCCAGTCTAGCACCTACACTCTCTTACTAAAACCACACTGTTCTTACACAAGCAGAATGTGGTCTGGTATTGTCTTGCTGAAACAAGCAGTCATGTTCCTGAAAAAGACGTCATCTAGAAGGCAGCATCTGTTCCCCTCAACATTAATAGTGCTTTCACAGATGTGCAGGTTTCCCATACCATGACAGACGCTGACTTTTGAACTTTACATGGGTAACAATCTGGATCGTTAGACCACAGCACTCGTTTCAACTGAGCATCAGTCCATATCAGTTGAGTTTTAGCCCAGAGAAGTTGGCGGCGTTTCTACTACTGGCTTCTGTTTTGCATTTCAGACTCTTAACTTTCATTTACAGATCAGCCATGAACTGTGTTTACTGACAAGCGTTCTCCAAAGTACTCCCAAGCCCATGTGGCCATTTTCATTACAGAAGCATGTTGGCTTTCAGTGCAGTGCCATCTGAGGGGTGCAGTGTCACAGGCATTAAATATTAGTTTTTGGCCCTTGCACAGTGATTTTTCTGGATTCCTTGAAGCTTTTGATGATATTCTGCACCGTAGAGGCTGAAATACCAAAAATCCTTGCACATGTTTGTTGAGCATTGTTGTTCTTTAACTGTTAATGCATTTTTTTTGGCAAAATTGGGAGCCTCCATTCTATCTCATAAAGAACTAGGTAATTCCTGGATGCTTCTTTTATATCCAAGCATGATTACATCACCTTTAAGATGCTTTTTTGGAACATGTCACAATATTTCTAGTCTTTAATCAAAGTGTCACAGGCATCAATTTCAGAGTGAGAGTAAATTTACAAGACAAAATGAAGGTAAAATGTGAAATATCTGGTCTTTATACTCTTTTCATATAAATCAAGGTCAAAGTGGATTTACAAATCACTGCTTTCTTTTATTATTTGCATTTACCTACTGTCCCAGCTTTGCTGGATTTGGGCTTGTAGTATGGTGGTGAAGAAGTTGCCACATTCCGCAGACAGCAAGCACATTTTTAATCAAATGAACACGTAATACCGATGTTGATACTCAAACCGTATGAGTGACGACTGCCGCAAACTGGTGAGTGCTGCAATAACATGTTCTTTCAGCAGAATAGTAAAAAGACGTAACTCTCTCTCTCTTTCTCTCCCTGCTCAGGTGTTGATATCTGAGGGGCTGGGTTGCTATGCACAGGATCCCTCCTTCATTGCAGTGGCCAAGCAGGAGCTTGCTGATGCATGCGAGATGACAATGGAGGAGATGGAGAACGCGGCAGATAATATACTTAATGCCAACGGACCTCCCAGCCCTAACGGCAACCTTCTGCCCTATATGCACTGCAGGGATGCTGGGACCCAGGAACCACTGCGGAGCAACAGCCAGGGGCTGTCCAGAGCTGGGGAAACGGAGGAGCTGCTAAGAAGTGGCCTGGAGGACAACGAGAATGGGGCAGGGGGGCTGCGGGCAGCTGGGGGGAGTCAAAGGAACAGCGGGCTGATGGAGGACGAGGACATGGAGTGTGTGACCAGCTTGTAGGGACGACATCAGCACCGAGGACTTCCTCCGTCTCGCCCCACTCTCGTCCCCCGATTGGTCCCCCGGCTCTGTGTGGGGACACTGGCGGCCTCTAGTCAGAACGGTCTCTTTCAAACCTGTATTTATTGTAGGAGTATAATGCAATTTGACTTAGCCGAAACTGATTTTGTTTTGTTTTTCTTTTCTTTTTCTTTTTTTTTTTTTAAAGGTGTGAATGGCTGTGAGCAAATGTGATGCGCGTGTGCGTGCGAGTGAGTCCGTGGGCGTACGAATGCGAGAGTGACAGGGAGAGAAAGTATCTAAAGTGCCTCACAGTTCTTAGAACTTTGACTGAGAGATTGAAGTAAAGATGCAAAGACAAAAAAAGACTTCGACACAGAAAACAAAACAAAACAGACAAAAAAAAAAAAGTAGAACTCTACTTCGTCACACGTCATTTCTCGTCGCTTCATCGTTAAGGCGTCATCAGCAGCGAAAGGCCGCCTGTGAGGGCTCAGTGGGGACCACGCTGGTCTGTCTCCAGCCGAGAAGACGTCGCGGAGCGGAAGCGGCTTCCTGCTCCTCTTCTTGCTCGCGTTCTCCGACGTGCAGAGCAGTTCGCTGGCAGGCTCTAGTCAGTATCCTCCAACAGGCCGCGGTGTGGTTGGAAAGGGGGTGTTTGTGGGAGCGCTGGGAGGAGGAGCGTACAACAGAGAGACTTTAAAGTGCAGGAGCTAATGCTCTCCTCTCTTCTTCCTCTGTTTAACTGACCACCAGGAGGAGGCCTGCATCCCAGCCCGCCATATACCTCGACTTGTCCATCGTTTCACTTTACTACTTTGCTCCTTTTAATGATTTGGCATTGCTTTCTGATTTCTTTTGTGACTCGTTTTCATTTTGTAGGCCAGTTTGGTGTGTTTCTGAGAGCAGGAGGAGTTAATCCGCAGCTCTACTGCTGTCTCTCTTGCTCAGTGGCTGTGAAAGGTTCAGGCCATAACAGTCGTGTCCACGCATGCTGTATTTGGTAACGTTCAGTATTTTCAGCATTAAAGATCAATTTTTTTTCTCCTAGGCCAGCCTTTGAATTTTTGTAATGTAATTTATCCTGATTTTAAAAAAGAGAGGGTACCTGCCTGTACTCTCAGCCACTCTAGCGCCCCCTGTTTTTTTTTTCTTAAGGGGATTAAGATGTTTAATAATCCTGCCTGAGGCTAACGCATAGCATCGTGGAGCGTCTCCGCCGGGATGCACCTCTGACAATTGTATTTATTTATTTATTTCTCCCAGAGAGGATGTGTGCTCAGTTGGGGATGCTCTCTGTCGTTGCGTTCAGGTAAATCTTAAGGTAGCAGAAGTGTGCCGACGGCGCGACGGCCCGCTTAGTCAAAGGGTATCGAAGGCAGACATGCTTCCAAGGCTTGTTCTTTATTGCTGCTCTTGTGCTGGTTGACTTTGACTGACGGTCTGAAGAGTAAAACTACTGAAGTAGCCGGATGGCTCAAACTGCCAAAATGCTTTTATTTGACTTTTCACAGTCGAACTGTTATCACAGTTAATATAGACCACTTCAAGATCCTCTCCCGAAACCAGGGAGAATACTGCTAAACTAATCATGACATTAAAGGTGCACTTTGGGGAGAGATAGGAGAGAGGAAAAAAAAAAAAACGTTTATTTATTCAGGGACATCTGGGTAGCCTATCATTTAAGACACTCTTTCTAATGTAGTTTACACAGGGCTAAATATATCATCATTAAAGTCACTATTAGATTACATTATTATTATTATTATTATTATTGTTATTATTATTATTGTTATTATTATTATTATTATGATTATTATTGTTGTTGTTGCTGTTGTCGGAAATATTTTTGCTTGGTTTAGCAGTGTATGCATGCATTCATACAATCACACAGACACATACTCAGAGAGGAAGATTTAGCGAACTATTATGCAAATAAGGTGTTCTAGGTTATATTATTACGTGACCATAATGTGCGGTAAGGAGTGTGGGCTGTTCTCCCATCATGTATAGTGCCAGAATGACACACGCGCTTATGAAGAATTTTCAATTTGATGACGTATGAACTGATATAGCATACTTAGTTGATTCTTTATTAATCCATACAAAACGAAGGGGGTAAAGAAATGTCACTGCTTTGCACACTGGGTATCGGTAACTTATAGCTTTTGATAAGTGAGTAAGTGTTTTGTTTTTTTTTGTTTTTTTCCTATTTTTCTTCCCAGATTGAAACTTAGCTGAGATGTTTGTTGCAATACTGCGTGTGTGCTTCATTCCAGGCTTCTCAAACGGATTCTCAATCGAACATTTAGGCTGTGTTGGAAGTAGCCTACTATGTACTGCTCACGCACTGACTGTGCACAAAAGTTTTGAGTAGAAGGCAGAATGTGGCCAACAGGAATTGCCCCAGTACGTCAGGGAAACCTGGATTACGTACCGGATTAATATTCTAGCAAGTGGGCAGAGAGGTGGTCATTTCAGGAGGACGTAACCAGTGACGTTACCACCTGGTTTGCCCCGAACAGTGGGGCAGGTCTTGAGATGGGTCTGATTGGCTCGGCCCTTTTTATTATAATATTTGAAGTCAATATTAACGGGCAATCTGTGTGTCAGATCGAGGGGCCAAACAAGTTAGTGATATTATCTATAATTTAATTTTCAATAAAACCTCAGTCTTAGTCATCTTTTCAATAGACTAATTACCAAAAGTTGTATTATGTTTGTTATTCAAACAACAGAATAAGGGCCTGTCCCATTTCTTATTTTTACCTCTACCCCTTGTTTTTGCATGTCACCTCGCCCCTTGGAACTGAGTTACAGGGTAGTGGTCTAAATCTACCTTGCCAGTCTTCAGTGACAGCAGAGGAGGGTAAAGTTCAGCTCCTCACTGCTGGGCTTTAGTTACATTTAGGGAATCATATGCCTTCAAAGAGGGGGGCAATTATTTATTATCGCCCACCCCTAATTCTTCAGTGATATGAAGCTGAAGTCAGATATTCACCAGCTTGTTGTTCGAATTTTCCTGTTCCACCTTAAATGGAGCAGCTGTTATATTCTGGCGCTTCAGGCAGAACGGACCAGAAATTTAGCTAGCTACTGAGACATCAGCAGACTATTAGCGATTTTTTATACTTGTTATGAATAAAAGAACCATAATACATTGAAACAACATTCAACTAAGATAATACAGTGATTATCGTAATTTTTAATGGGGAAAATTCTCACATTTGTGGGTTTCTTTGGTCTCTTTTTCTCCATCTTGCTGGTTTTTCTTTTTTTCTCATATCTCTCAGTTTGGAGTCTCTGAAAACCTCCGTTTGGAGGGTCAAGTAGCCCCAACACTTCACCCCACCCCTCTATCTCAACAAGAATCAGGACACCCTACCCCTAGACGTGAACACACAAAGCAGAGGGCTAAGTGGTAGGGGTGAGGGCTGAGATAGGATTGGGCCTAAGTCAGGTGTTGGTAAGTAGCTCCAAGATTAACAAATTCAACAAACAAAGGCAGGTAAAAGTAAAAAATCAGACATGGAAAATCAGAGGCGCACTAAGAAACACGGCTAAGAAATACATGACAGCCTGCCAAGAACAAAAGCAGAGACAAACTAGAAAAACAAGCAACAGGCGTTGGGAATAATAAGCGGGCGGAGCTGAAATGCTCCGAGAAGGAAATGTTCCAGGAGAGGGGTCGTGATGCGTCTCAGGTTAGGAGTATTGTCAGCAAAGTCAGTAAAAAAAGAGATCCTAGACCAGCACTCCTGCTCAGAGAAGCTGCTGTCCAATGAAAAACAAGTATCTTCAAAATATTAACTTTACAGGAGAGGGCAAAAACACTCTCACCTTTCAATGTAAGTCAGTGTAAAGAGATTTTGTTCCAAGTGATTTTAGAGCATTTCTATTGGTCCATTCATCATGAAATTACATTTACATTGTACACAATGTAAAGGACAACTGGTGTGTTGTAATGATGTAGAAAACTAAAAATCAACAAAAATGGAGATACATGGTTTTCATTGGACAGTGACGAAATACAGGTCCGTGATCTCCCCATATGTTGTAACTTAATTTACAGAAAAAATTCAGCTCCTCAAAGCGAGTCGGCCCCTAACAATCATCTGAAAGAGCAAATGACACATCACAGCTAGTCACAGCCCTGCCCTGTAGTACGGCGCACGGCTTTCGTCACATACTGGACACTACGCTGTATACTACCGATGAAGAGTAGCATGCAGTATACAGTATATGCTGGTGCAGTACGCAGTATACAGTACACAGTACGCTATTTCGAACGCAGCCTTAGGTTCTTTCCAAGGTTCTGGCGAAGCTGTCTCCCTGTTAAAGTGTTCCGCACCTGTTTAAAGTGGGTGAATGTATTGTTGTCCACTCTTAAGGAAAAGCTTGTGGGGAAAAAAACCTGAAAAAAACATGTAGCCAATATCCACCCACCTACACCCTCTGTCCGAAAGCCACTACGTCGGTTCCCGTCCTCGAAACCCTCCTAAGCATTCTTCTCTTTTCACACAATGTGCCATGTGTTACGTGAGGCTGCATCCGGCCCTGCGTTTTCTTCTAGGCCACGACTGTGCGTAGAGAGTGAGAGAGAGAGAGATAGAGAGAGAGAGAGAGAGAGAGTGAGTTCGTGTGCGGATCGTGGCCCATGTGTGTGCAGTATATGCAGAATGCACAGATGATTATGTGGATGTGTGCCTGCATACCACAAGATATGCAAAAACAATGCAATAACAACTATGACTGTATACTAGAATCAAAAAGAAATATAGCTGTAAAAAAAAAAAAAGATAAAGAGATAATATATTCACAGTTGTTGTGTATTAAGTTACAGATCTTTAAATTTAAGAAACCTGTTATACTTGAAATCAGGTGCATTTCAGTATTTTCAGTACAAATATTGTGTCTGGTTTGAGTCTGTTTCTTTCTTTCCTTTCTCTCTTTCTCTCTCTCTCTCTCTCTTTAACCACTAGTTTGTTTACGTATGTTGGTTTCAATTACTAGGGTGTACACCTCTGCATGAAGTTCATTTGAGCATTTTGGTGTGCCAAGCTTTTCTTATATTTTCATATTTCCTTTTTTTGACTTGGAAAGAATATGTGATCGATGATGGAGCAGATAAATGTTTTATTTTTTATCAGATTAAAAGTGTAAATAAGGGCAGAGAACTATGTCTTGCTGTTATAGAAAGCATTATAGGATGTATGTGGCGTAAGCTGATTTTGCATATCTTGTGTTCATCCAGTTCATCCAGTTGAAAAGTGGCTGTATATAAACTGAGACCAGCATTCTCTGTCTTTTCCCCCCCTTTATGTTCATATGTTCATTCTTCCTTGTTTCTTTTCTCTTCTTCCACTCTTGGGCTAACTGGGCAATTTTGAAATATTAATGAGAGTGTGCATATATATGTGTATATATATATGACACTCTTCTATGATTCCAAGAAAGGCAGATCACAGAGCAAAATGTACAATTTAAAGTGTACAGAATTGTAGAATAAATCATTAAGTACAGTAGAACCTGCTCTTTGAACTTGGCCCATGTGTTGAGTGGATGCTGCTTGTTTGGGACAGTTTGTGAATGGTTTCATGGTTTTGCAGAGGATCAGGCATTGAAACCTTATTATATAGATCTAGAGTTCTCACATTGGCTTCTCTAAGGTCAGTATTCAGTTTGCTTTGTTCACTTGAACATATACACGTTCACATTCTTACCAGGGCTCATATATATACACACTATATGGCCAGAAGTATGTGGACACCGGACCATCACACCTATATGGGCATTAAAATGGAGTTCCCCCTCATTGCAGCTATAACAGCCTCCACTCCTGGGAAGACTTTGGAGTGTGTCTGTGGGAATTTCAGTCAAAAGAGCATTTGTGGGGTCAGACACTGATTTTGGACTCGCTTTGTGCACAGGGGCTCAGTCATGCTTGAACAGGAAAGGCTCTTCCCCAAACTGGTGCCACAAAGCTGAAAGCATACAGTTGTGTAAAATGTCTTTGTGCTGTAGCATCAACATCACCCTTCACTGGAACTGAGAGCCCATCCCTGAAAAACAGCCCCGCCCATCGTCCCTCCTCCACCAAACTTTACTGTTGACACTGTGCATTCCAGTAGGTAACGTTCTCCTGGCATCCACCAAATCCAGATTCATCCATCAGACTGCCAGACAGTGAAGCATGCTTCATCACTGCTTCATCAGAACATGTTTCCACTGCTCCAGAGTCCAGTGGCAGTGCTTTACACCACTCCAGCTGACACTTGGCATTGCGCATGAAGCTCCTGGTGCACAGTTCTTGTGCTGATGTTGCCTCCAAAGGCAGTTTGGAACTCTGTAGTGAGTGATGTAACAGAGGACAGGTCATTTTTACGTACTGTATATTTTAGCACTTGGCAGCCCTGTTCTGTGAGTTTAGTCTACCGCTTCCATTTCCCGATAATAGCACTTACAGTTGATCAGCAGATCTAGCAGTGCAGAATTTTCACAAATCAATCCTATCGATCCTATGTCAGTGCCACGTTTAAAGTCAGTGAGCTTCAGTATGGCTCATTCTACTGCCAGTGTATGTCTATGGAGTTTGCATGGCTGTGTGCTTGATTGCATACACCTTTGAGGAATGGGTGTCACCGAAACACCTGATCTCTAAAATTAGGAGGGGTGTCCACATACTTTTGGCCATAGAGTATATACAAAAACTCAAAAATGAAAAATGTTCATTCTAATATGATCAGAATTACTCAAATTCACTACACTAAAAACCAAAAATGAAAGCAATGTATAAAGACTGTTTAGCTTTGCAAGGAATTTAGAAGGTTTTTTTAGACTGTTTGAATGTAGGCATCGAGGAAGAAAAGGTCATGCCCCTGCATGAATGTACTGATTGATAATGGATGCTGGAATAGATCTTACAGGCTGGGCAAGTGATGCATTTTATGTGTCAAACAATCAAGTAGCCCTTGTGTATAGCTGAAGTTACAGCAGCGACATTTTTTCAAAATTACAACAACAAAATGAATTGCATCAATGACAGTTTCAGTATTTTCAGTCTTTTAAGGGTTTAGATTAATCTGTGCGAGGCTATGGCAAACCTACCTGTTTAATACACATCATTATGGGATGTAGGCTGGCAAGCAAAAGTAAATCCAGTAGTTTTGTTTTTATGCATCAGCATCTACAGTAGTTGAAAGGAGCATCTATTTTGATAGACTTTCACAAATGTTACAGTTAGATAGGCTAACGTTTCCTACTAATTCACACTTTCAGGTTACATTTTAAGATGGTAGTTTTACAGTTCAATATATGATAACTGTGAATCAGCTGTCCAACTTTAAAATCAATAAATGTAGCCTATATGGTGTTTAATACTGACCTATGAAATGTAACATGCTCAACTCAAAGTTGGTAGAGCATCCATTTAAGTTTTCTGTGATTAAAGTGTTTGAAAGACTGAGTTATTCAGGCTTATCAGCAGAATTTCAAGCTTTTTTTCACCTTTATCGTACTTTTATCTGCTGTTAATTGAGCGCTAAACTTGTCAGGGATGACACGACAAAAGCAGACAGCGGTGGTGATGTACAGTTTAAGAGTTTGGAAATATTTAATTGTGTGTAGTTTCTGTGTGATTGGATGATCAGCTCTAAACTCCAGCTTTAAAGAGGCATGAAGAAAACGTGCTGAAACTCACCGAATTACATTGTAGGTATATTTGAAATGTTTGTCATTCATTTCCTTTCAATGAGTGATGTAGCCTTCTCTGCATCTCACACTTATTTACGAAGCTATGTAAAAAAATTCTCAAGTGAGATTTTAAAAATGTTTAACTTTGCAGAGGCACCTGTATTTATTTATGATATTTCCGCAGGATGCTGCAGTGCAGTTCCA